AGTGGTTCCAGGGTCAGTGTCTCCTGGATCAGTGTCTCCTGGATCAGTAGTTCCAGGGTCAGTAGTTCCAGGATTCCCTCCATCGGTCGGCTGACTTGGCTCCGAGTCAGTTGGGCTTGCGGGCTCTGTAGGTAGAGCTACATCAGTCGGCTGAGCAGGATCAGTAGGTTGTGAAGGATCGGTAGGTTCAGCAGGGTCTGTTGGCTGTGATCCATCCGTTGTCTGTGCTGGCTCGGTTGGAAAGGAATCCCATGTAGTTTGGGCAGCAGTAGGATCAACAAAATCTGTCGTTACACCACCGACATCTGTCGTCTGGGCTGCTGTGGGTATAGAAGAGTCCGTCGGCCATGCAGAGTCAGTTGTAAGAGCAGCATCAGTACTCTGGGCACCGGTGGGAAATGAAGAATCTGTAGTCTGAGCAGCGAAGCTAGTTTGTGCTGCACTGTCCGATGAAGTATCTGTCGTGTCTGGGTCCGCAGTGGTTGAAGCACCAGCAGACTGGCTCTGGGTATCGGATACAGACTCCCAGGTACTTGTTGCTGCGGCCGAGTCTATCTGAGAGGCAGAGGCACTTGAGTCTGATGCACTCTCAATGTTACTAGATGCCGCCGCAGAGCTTGCTTGAGAAGCCGCAGGCGTCTTCGAACCAGAGTTTGGTTTTCCCGGACTGCCACCCCCATTTTGCTTGGCTGTTGTCTTGGGAGGTGCTGCATGCGACTTCACAGGAGTTGATCCCGAGCCTCCATTTCCGCCTTTTGCTGTTGATTTAGGGCCCCGAGAAGATGGCCTCGCAGGCGATGATTGCGACCCTTCATTCCCAGTTTCCTTGGGTGTCGGAGATGACATTGGGATAATTGAGGGGGAGCCTGGGCCACTAGCTGACTCTGAGATCGCCGAGGATGTTATAGGAGATGATCCAGTCCCACTATCTACACTGCTACTCACAGAGGGAGTGAGAACACCTGACGATGGTATCGAGGAGGACGATGAGTCACTGATTATGCCACCGCTTGTACTAGGGCTTGGATTCGACAAAGAAGAAAACGTTGAGGACGATCCCGGGCTGTTGATTCCATTGCTACTCGAGCTTAAACTTGAAGTCAATGAACCTGGGCTTGATTCGGACCCAATGATACTCCCGGTCGATGTTGAGAACACTAACGCTGATCCCGAGCCTGTATTCCCAAAGCTGCTTTGACTCGAAGTTTGAAGTGATGACACTGAATCGAACGAAACCGAACTCGATATGCTACTTTCACTGCTTAAACTTCTTAAAGTATTCGAGATTAAGGTCGATGTCACAGACGTCGGACTAAGCGAAAGTGACTCCGTGATGCTATAGCTACCGCTCGCGCTACTCGCTATCAATACCGGAGCAAGTGATGTTGCGGTCGCAGGCGATAACCCAGAGGCTGCATTCCCATTACTATATGTGGCCGTTGAAGACGGATTGATTAAAGAGGATTCAGTGATAATGTTGCCATCCCCAGTCGAAGTTAAAGTTGAAGTGACTGCAGATAATGAGGTTACAACGGACAACCCAGCAATAGTAGTCTCACTGGTAGTGGAAGATGTGTTCTGGAAGTACCAGCCCGAGGTACTGCTAGCACTGCTGATCAGGGCGGGGCTCGGTGTAATGGGATACAAGCCTGTGGGCGGGGATTCGGGTGATATAGTCTCTTGGCTGTTGGTGGGAGCCGAGACTGGTTGTACAGGGAGTAATTCAGACCCAGTGTTTCCTCCTGAAGAAGTCTCGAGGTCAGGGTTGTCAAGTCCAGGGGGTGATATCACCGGAACGTCGTGTATATTGGTGTATATACCGCCGTTAGCGCCGGAAAGAAGACTGCTATCAATGTTCGAGGGCTTATTTGGTACATATGTTGGTGATGGATTTCCAGCTGTCTGAAAGTTACCTCTAGTGATTGTTTGAAAGGTTGTGATGGGATTTGTTCCACCCGCAGCAGCGTTGGTATATCCAGGGCTGAGGATTCCAGGACCGTTGGTATACTGTAGTGTGGTTGTCTTTCCATCAACAAATTTCTCGGTGATTTGAATCACGTTGACGGATTGGACACTGTCTCCTCCCGATCCAAATGCTACTACAACACAGTTGTATGCTGCCAATCCTGTGGGGCACACGGACACTATCTGTTGTCCTTGTTGGTCGGGGATTATTTGAGAACTAGCAAGCTGAGTAGGAGGTGTGGCGAGAACCGTGACAACATCAGTTGGATTAGGGATAGTGGGTTGTATCAGAGTGAAGTCTAAGTGAAAGGAAGTCAGCTTTTGTCCGCTGGGATTATTTGGAAAAAGGTAGATGGAAGCTGTAATATCATTTTGGGAGATTTACAGTAGGAGTAAATGGAGCATATGACAAGAAGTAGGAATGTGGGTATATTTCCAAAGAAGATAATTATGCTTACTTCCTAGTGGGAGTGATGTTGGTGAGACGCATGATTGAGCTATGACTTGCGTAGTAGGGACTGTATTGTTGAAATTCCAACCATCATATACGGTCCGAGTAACAGTAGTCGTGATTGGGGCGTCGACAAGAGTGTCTCGCTTCAAGACTCCTGTAGTCTGTGGAGTCACAGAACTCAAGAGAGCCTGCGCCCCTCCAAATGTTAGGTGTATTTTCATATCGAGTTCAACAAGGAGCTGGTATAGCGACTGTGATGAACTTGATGTACAAGGATAACGTGGGTTATCAACAGAAAACTGAAAAACGAGTGTGACAGAGTTCAATAAAACCTCCTGGAAAGAATATGGGGGGAGGGCAGACTCGAAGGGAAAGATTAATGAGAACAAAAGGAAATAATGATGGGTTCAAAGTACTATCTTATATGCTTCTCACAATAAACCGTGTACTATGCATAAAGAGCTGGATCCCGTCATTACCCATGCTGGTTTCCCAAGTACAAAGCTATGAAGGGTTGAAAAGAGTCCCATAGTCATGTAAACATTGAACTGCAGGATCAAGTAACATGGGTCAGATGAAGCTGAAATATGTCGGAGAAAGGCGGATTTTATGGTGTTACATTCCCTTTTGATTTGAGTATCCCGCACATCCATCTACTCGAGGCCAGCTAGGAGGACAAAAATAAGCTGACACTTATGCACTTCTTTGCAGTTTGAATCTACAACACTTCATATTTAAATGCAAAATTCTCAAGCACTGGAAAGTTTATACTCAGCACAAGATTATTATTTTCATTTTCTGGTGAGCAAATGTCAAGATGGAAAAAGTGCGCCGACCACTCCGTGCTTGTCAGACCGGGCTGACTTAGGTGTAGGATGGAAATAAAAAGCTTAGCAGAAAGCTTCACTTCAAATCAAATTGAAGCATAATCAGCCACAGCTTCCCGTCGTTACAGTAGTATAAGAGAACCGGGCAGGCTAAATCATCGACGTCTTCGAAGAAAGAAAAAGGTGTACAAGTTAGCGTTCTAGGAAACTCGCTTAAACGTAACCCCTTAAATAGCCACTGTCACAAGGTCGCACAATTGAATCCTACAAATTCACAATTATGAGAAAGCTATTCGCTATTATAATGGTGGGGCAGCTGAGCGGTGCTGAACCGTTGAGATCTATTCATAACACGCGAAATGATATTTTTAAGCAACGATCATCTCCGACAACGTGCAGGTCCGGTCTTTGAGATGCGGTAGGGATACAAAAACGACAGGTGTCACCACTTGAAATCCTTCCTTATCCCGAAAATCCGTTTTCAACTTTAACCATTAGGCAAGATTGTTTACGGAAAGGGTGCGAAGGTAGGGAGGGCATATTTGCCAATTAAGGTGTGGCCATCCCGTGATGTCTTAACAAAAAGTGGGAAACATCACTCCACGTTACACAATTCCTTCCATATACAACAGTGTCCCAAAAGACTATTTAACCTTGCATTTAGTGTTCCTTTTTCAGCAGATAAGTCTTCAAGACATCTATCTACCGTGCGATATCACATGAAAGGGCAGGTAAAGATTAAGTATTACCCAAAATCTGGATACAAGGAAGCGAGTCCAAAGTTACATCATAACCACAAGGACGTCTAACCAAGAAAGCGAGAACGGAAAGTTGCATCGAGCGAGCGCAAGGGAGCAGAATGAGCAGTTGACATTCAGATTTAGATAGCAGTGAAAGGAGACATGTGAAATCCAGGCACTACATAAATTAATACGAGTGAAAGGAAAGTTCGGTAAAAGAAGGCGTATCAAAGAGGAAGAAAGAAATAAAGATTCGACTCGACAAAGTCTATAACAGATATTCAGTCTGAAGACACGTCCTAAGGCCATGGACACAGTGGAGACTTCGGGAAGTGCGGATGGTGCGGACGTGAGGGAAATGAAGGAAGTGAGCATAAACGAGAAAGGAAAATACGAGGTGGAGAAATCGGAGGAAGTAATGTACCTATTAACGCATCCTTGGCTTAGGTAGAAACGATCGAGATGTGCTACATAGTCTTTAATTCGCACACTGTAGCAGAAGAAAAATATTTATTATTCTTATGTGTTCAAAGCGTAGTTACAGGCAAGATGAAGAACCAAAGCGGAGTGGAGCTAGACACCCCAGAAAGCAGCCCCAGTCACGGAGAAAATAGTGCGTATTTGGAACGTGATCGACCGGAGGTTGAAAGCGAAATTCGACATCGCACTGACCACAATAGGTGCGGAGAATTTGAGAGTCCGAAGGCGATCGATGGAACCAAGATTTAGAGTCTAGAAGCTCAAGCACCTCTCAACAATAACCAGATATGTCAACAGACACAACCTGACCTCCTTCAATGAAGGTTCCGTTGATAGGTGCTAGAAGTCCTCCGTTGGTGGTAACATACACCGAATCTTTATCCAAAAGTCCCCTTCCAAGTGTAGCACTCGTAGGTCCCGCAACAACAGTCTCGTTAAGCCCGCCCAAGAGCGTAGTCAGCTCACCTCCATCTAGAGGCATCGAAAGGAGGGTATTCTCAAATCCCGACATGAAAGCGACACCTCTTTCTTCATCTAGAACAAAGTCATCCATGACTGTGCCATTTGACAGGATTTCCACTGGCCCGACGGTATGACTTGCGCATGTAGAGACTGGGATGCGACCAAAAAGTGCTGAAGCTTGTGTACTGAAATAGAGATATATCGTGTCACCCCTCTTGAGCACTTTCAGTCCGTTGATTCCCAATCCCGAAGCACCCGCTGGAGGAGCCAACACTGCATCGCTCACCAGGACACTGCTATCTCCAGTCTCCACATCCACCATCAAGATTTGCCCCTTCACAGAGTCCGCGACCACAATTAGATTTGCGGCGACATCCAGAGTGTCCATTCCATTCAAGAATGCAGCGCTGGGAAGGGGAGCTACTTCCTTGACGACCGCCCCGGTGTTTAGAATCGAATCATAGCTTCGAAGGTCGAGAGACCAGACGCCCCAAGTTCCAGCACCCAGATCTGATGTTGCGATGGAAAAATTGCCCCCGGCAACGTAGAACTGATCGGGTTGGACTTCAGTAATACCGAGTAAGCCGGCAGTGGGAAAGCTGTGCACTAATGTTGCAGTGGAGTTTGATGTGGAAGCAAATGGAGAAAGAACAGGGTCGATGAGGTAAACATTTGGAGAGGGCGCTACGAGTGTAACAAGTAGCTGGCCATTTTGACGGGCTCGGAGGTTCTCAACATAGGTGCCGGCTGGGAATTGATGAACGAGTTGAGAAGGTAATGGCAGCTGCGCAGTACAGGCAGCAAGTGAGATGATAGTGAAAAAGGAAACAACAGTGCTGAAAGTTAGATACTGCATGGCGAATCGAAGTTGTTGCAATGATGAAACGGGTTTAAAGAGAGTGATGCATGCAGAATGAGGATTACTTACTTGTAGGATGGAGGGACTTCTTTTATAAAGTACGAAAGTGAATAGAAGATAGATAATTGAGGGTTACGATAAGGTGATGATCGCCCTGTTTGGTGCATCATTCACTCGCCGGCGACAAAAGAGATGATGGCACTGACTGTTTTGTGAATCACTCGCAGGCGTTGCCGGCGTTGCCGGCGTTGCCGCAGCTAAATGCAGTAAGAAGTCGAGGAAAGAAATTGAGGCTGACCCCATAATTTCCGATGATTAACGGCGAAACAAGATCAAGAGATAGCTTTCCTAAGATGGACGACCGTCTAACCTTTCTTGTAAACTGGCCCCAGAAGTGTATTCTTAGCACCACGTGGACACGTGGCGGTGAGATCTCAACTGTGAGATCTCCAAATCCAATCACAAGTACGGAATATTCTCATCGCCTAGAAGTCCGAAACTACAAGGGTCTATTGGCTACAACAATGATCCCCACAAGGAAGTTAACAGGGCCCTTGGGAAACTCAAATCATTCACGCTCCACTATAGAATAAAGAGGGTCAATCCAGGGTTAAGACCAGTTATATACAGCACCCCGTTGCCCCACAGTTTCAGACTTCTGGGCGATACGAGTAAGTCCCTGGTCACAGGAAACAACAAAACATCCAACGAGGAGAGTTTCTCTTGAGGCTTTATTATTATCCTTATGCGAAGCTTGTACTAGTATACCTCAATCTCGGTGGTGTACCTCCGGTACGAGCAGTATCATTTGCACCAATACTCATACAGGCCAAGTTGGCTCTCGGATTCCGGTACAAAGAAATGCAAAGGAGGGAAGGAACTACTGCTCAGGGGAAGACGTAAAACTTCTAGACATAGAAGACTGATGACCGGCGAGGAAGTTGGTAATTGTTTAGCAGGTGACATGATGCAAGCAATGGATTCTACATTTTTACGTGCGCCAAACTGCGTTTGTGTGATATTGAAACAGGTGAAAAACCAAAAAGACCTGTATTCATCTTTTATTTGCCTCAAATGCAGAATGTATCTGTGAAGCTCTCAGGATTGGAAAACTGTAGGAGGAGGTTGAAATCGAGTAGATTAACTTTCGGATGAAAGCAACACAGTCACGTGGTGCCATTCTGAACTCCGATTTCCGAACTAGCCGTGTCTCTAACCAGCCACGGGTTACTGAACGCTATTCATCCTCTTCAACTTTCCAAAATGGTTTTGTCTATCTTTCGCAGCAGGAATAATTTACCTGGCACTGGCACTAGCACTGGCACAATATGGGCATACAGTGCCCATCCTCGGACACTAACAGCACCTTATCGAGAAAACAGTCCTCAGGTCTTCTCAGGCGACAATCAGACATCAATATCCCTATAATTCTAATGGTGTCGCGATTATAATACCTATCTTCTACTCCGCACACAAAGCGTGATGCAAGAGTTTCCTTCGTTTGCAAAACATGAGTGAACGCAATAGAGCCCTCAAGAGGATGTTCGAATAGCCACGTCAGCGGGTCAATTATTAATGGTAGGCTGAACTACTTCGACCCGGATCATTAATCGGTTGTCCTTAAGGTACAGTTTTTGCACTTGATTCGATGAAGTCCCGACTGATGATTAACGAAGAAATATGCGAAATAGAATGGCATGAGAATATGGGAACCATCTACGGAGGAGATTTATGCTCTTGAAGGACGATCTCTCATATTGTGTCGTCTCATATATGGTTCTAAACTACCTCGGACCATTTCCCGTTGCGTGGTGTAGAAATGTTTCTGTTGGCCGAAAAAGGACATACGACGGAACTAAGACCGACTTTACCCAGAACCATGTAACGCGGGGTACGGGGTCCCCAGACCCACAACCCTCCCGAGGGAAGGGATCCATGGTTCCAGAGCCAAAGAATTCAGAAGAGTCCAGGTGGGCCCATGGCTTCTTTTCATCTAGATAGGGGAATCTATTCAAGTGTGCAGGATTGGCCTCAGGGCCACGTACTCGTTTCGGTTTCCGGGCCTTACCCTCCGCTCGGAAACACCACCGAAAAGAGGCAAATTCAAAAGAAAACAACGCCACTCAATATATATCAGCATATACTGCATATATTTTCGGTTGGCATCCGGGGCCCCTTGTCGTTTGTTGCACAGTCTCCAGCACGGTCTTGGCAGTCACTAGCCGGCTAAAAGCCATTCGTCAATTCCCAATCCGTACCCAAGAGCTTGCTATGGGAGCTTATGCTGTTGGTAGGAGGTCCTAGATGGGGATGCTGGCCGAAAGTCCGGGGATAGTGGAGATGAGGAGAAAGTCTTGCCAGACGTCGCTCGCGGTTCGGCTATACGTTGTTGGAATAGTTTCGAGGAAAAGTGTTATGAACAGGGTCAATCTTACATGCGTACCATACATAAAGACTTGCCTACGCACCAAATTCTCCAGATATCACATTCTTTTTAGACTACCAGTAATTGGCAAGGTCGGAATTGTAGCTTGAATACTTTCACTATCAAGATGTCTGACCATAGTTCAGCGCACCGTCACCATGAGCCTCAGGAAGTGATCAATGACTGGCCGCCGGCAGGGCATGATGAGGTAGAAATATCTCTTTCCCCTCGACCGTGTATTTGTCTTTCATCGGGCTAACATAACTTAGAAATATCCCGAGAAACATGACGAGGTCGAGATCAAAATTATCAACGGAAACGAAGCGTTTAACGAGGCGATGCTCAAGGAGCCTCCAAAGCCATTTACCTTTGCGACAATGCAACTCTACACGGCCTGCTTCATCGGCTTTTTCTGCGCGACGATGAACGGATACGATGGGTCCCTAATTAATAACCTGTTGGAAAACCATTGGTTCTTGGAATACTATCATGGCGAAAATGCGGGTATTTGGGCTGGACTTGTTACTGCCATGTACCAGATTGGCGGTGTTGTCTCTTTGCCCTTCGTTGGGCCTGCCGCCGACGCCTATGGACGGAGATTTGGAATGTGGCTCGGGTGTTTCTTGGTTATTCTCGGAACAATCATCCAGGGAGTGGCGACTCAAGCCAATGGGACGAAACAGTTTATGGGAGGTCGCTTTCTATTGGGTTTTGGGGTCAACATTGCTTCGGCAGCTGGCCCCATGTATGTTGTTGAGGTTTCACATCCGGCCTATCGTGGTCTTGTGACGGCCGTTTTCAACTGCTTTTGGTAAGCAACGCTCGATATATCTATGAATCCTTGTACTTATCTAGTATCAGGTTCACTGGAGCTATTATCGCTTCTGGAGTCGCGCGCGGAGGCCTCAATGCAGGCGGAAACTTATCTTGGCGCCTGGTGATCTGGATTCAACTCATGTTCTCAAGTTTTATCTTCCTCCTGGCTTATTTCCTTCCCGAATCTCCCAGGTGGCTGTATGTCAACAACAAGAAAGCCCAAGCTAAGGCTATGCTCACCAAGTACCATGGCGAGGGCAACCCAGAGAGCGAGTGGGTCACCCTTCAACTGAATGAATACGAGGAACTTCTCGAGATGGATGGTGCCGATAAACGATGGTGGGATTATCGAGCGCTGTTCAAAAACAGGTCAACTTGCTATCGCCTTTTCTGCAACGTCTGCATCACAATCTTTGGTCAATGGGCAGGCAATTGTATGTCGAACCCTATGAGTTGTAACCCGAACTGTACTAATGACGTTAGCCGTGCTATCGTATTTCCTCGGCAAAGTCTTGGACACTGTAGGTATTCATAGCAACGTCGGCCAAGCAAACATCACTCTAATCAACGCCTGCCAACAATTCCTTTTTGCTTTACTGGGTGCAAACTTGGTCGACCGTGTTGGCCGCCGGCCTTTACTCCTCTTTTCAAACATTGGTTGCTGTGTTGTTTGGCTTGCGGTCACGATCTCGACCGCGATTTACACAAAATCAATCCCCCCACTGGATCCAAACGCCGACCCAACTATCAAGGTATACGGCACGAACAAAACAGCTGGAGCCGCCTCCCTAGCTTTCATCTTCATCTTTGGAGCAGTCTACTCTGTTGGTTTTACTCCACTTCAAGCTTTGTATCCCGTCGAAGTCTTGTCCTTTGAGATGAGGGCAAAGGGTATGGGATTCTCTGGTTTCGCAGTTGCTGCTGGTAAGTCACACTCCCCACCGGCACAGACTCTCCTCTAATTCGAAAACAGCTGGAATGTTGAACCAATTCGCGTGGCCCGTGTCACTTCAGAAGATCGGATGGCATACTTACATCATTTTTACCATCTGGTGCGGTATCCAAGCCACCGTAGTCTATTTCTTCATCCCAGAAACTAAGAATCGAACAGTAAGAACTTCTCTCATCCCCCTTTCTTATGAAAAATGGATACTAAAGAACTGCCTTCATTCAGCTCGAGGAGTTAGACGAAATATTCAACTCGAAAAATCCAGTCAAGAAATCTATACAGAGGAAACGACTTGGTCTCGATGCCTATGGCGACGTGGTCAACATCAAGGAAGTTTGATCTATACTACCTACCTTAATATTTCTATCCGTCTTCCTCTGTTGCCTCGATATAAATTACCCTCGACAAACCCCCGTTTAGAGAAGGTGGGCTTTTACAGACTTGGATCCTCAATTACCTGGGGCGAGATTGAAACGGGAAAGGGGCATGTCAATGAAAAGGCGAAAAACTTTCGTTCTAATTAGCTTTTAGATCTAGATATTTAAATATCATCAACTGAGAAACTTTATAAGTGGCTAGTGATTGCTCCTATTCCCTTTTTATACACCTTGACAGATTTTATATCGCATCCTAGTATGGCTCGGCGAAGCCGCTGCTAGAATTATGAAAAGATCCTACAGCCGATTCGGCAAATAAATGGGTACTGCAGATCTCACCCCATTTTCACCACGTCTTTGCCAATTCCTGCATACTCACTCCCACCTTGGCAAGTATGAATTTTTCGTAAGGCCTATAGACATTCCCAACGTCGATCGAACAATTTGAATGGATTCTAGAAGGGCCGTGCTACTGGATGGCAGGGATATGAATCCTTGTGGAGATAATATGATAGGGTGGGACGATGGCTTGCGCTTACGCCGCTTGTGACCGAGGGGAGCTAGGAAGGAAGCGACTATTTATCGAGCCTGTTTTTCTACTCTCCTCCCCTCCCCCTTAATAAAGGTTAAATCACGTAAAATCTCCCTAGAACGTAGAATCCCATAGAATTGAATGGCTAGATATCCTAGTAAGTGGCCTACTATTCATAGCACGCAAGGTACTTGTAAAGTCCTTATAAGGTCCCACTTGGCTCTGGACGTAGTGATATCATTCGCTGTACACGATGGGGCGAAGGATCATTAACCTTTATTAAGGGGGGGAGTAACTAGGAGATTATCAGGGTCTGGATTTCTTAAATAATCTGGTTCCCACACTTTCCATATATTGCATTGAATTGAGATAAGCGAATCTCTAAAGAGATCCTGAAGGTGGGACATCATGCCTGGGGATCGAATCTTGTACGTATACAAATGGTATTTAGTCTGTCTCCAAGGATTGGCATTATATCAACAATGGGATTCATACTCTTAGGTCGGTTTTGGGATATTAATAGCAAGCAGAACTTTATCGCATCAATATCTCTATGCTGTTCTAGGCTTTCCTCTTTTTGGGTTTTGACTATTTATCTATGTTTTGCTTTCTTTGGATTTCTCAATAGCTCGGCTCTTCAGACTCCTCAAATAATTCTGATACTTTCATCTCTCTCTTTCTATTGACTGTGAAGCTCTTAGATTCACTTCGTTTGACCATGAAGCGTATTGGCACTCTTGCCTTTTTCGGCCTTTTCTTTACCTGTCACAGCCGGCTTCTAGGTCCTCGAATGCACGATGTGGGAGGAGTTAATTCTTCCAGTCATAGCAACATCACCTTGACTATCAACAATGCAACCGTCACGTTGGATCAGTCTAATGCCACGGGCTTTGTGATTTCGCAACCGCTGTCAAAACCCGTGACCATCTCGAAAGGACGGGCATACACGATCGGTACTGATGTAGTCTCGTTGGAAAGCTCTGGCGTTGTTTTGGATCACTCGACGGTATTCTTCCCAATATCCTCTACTTCTACTTGGAACACTTCGACCCGTTCAGTATCCAGCACGAACGGATCTATGGAAATCTTCAAGACAGGGACGGGGTCAAACACAAAAACAAGTTCAACACCATCTATACACGCTCTATCCGCCATGAATTCCTCAAATCGAACTGCCAGTGATACAGGAGCGTCCCAAACAGCTTCGTCTACCCTGGGCTCATCGATATTTTCTAATGCTACACCACCATCTAACCTGAATTCGTCGACCGGGAGGATCTCGTCTAGGTCTTCTAGTTCATCTTTTGCCAGCTCAATCACAAGTAGAGCAAGTTTAAGTACGGTATCGCGCGCAGGCAGCACAGGTGTGATTGAGACCGCTCAGAACTCAACAACAGCTGTGATTCCTATCATTGTTGTTCAGGTGTCAAAGTCCGGCACAACGTCCCCTGTTACGTACATTTCTACTCATACCAGTTCCGGTAGCATCAAGCCTACTGCTGCCTGGATGTGTACAGGCCCGCTCTGCGACACTAGCAAGGGCTGCATTGTCCCACTATTCTGCGCTTCAGAAAGGGGTAGCAGTGATAGTTGGGGTCTTTGCTGTGGATGGAACCCCCCAACTGAAGGCGGGGTTGATGGTGCGCCTCCTGCAGGAGGTCCCCAACCTGCTCCTGACAATCCAACTGACCCAGAGAATACGGATCCCACCACCGGGACTGCTGACCCAACGGATTCAATAAGCACGCATTCTATGACTAGGACATCTGGCTCCAGCAGCTCCTGCTCGACACAGACGAAAAGCGCCTGCGATACTTCATTGTCTGTCTTCACACCGACAGGTGCAACAACTGTAACCACATCTACTGTTACACTATCATGCTCAACTGTCACCGGCTGTTTGGCTTCAGTTAGCGCATCTTCGACGACAAGCACTGCAGACAGCACGCCTACGGAAGGTTACTTGGTGTATCCTATCGATGGCGCAAGCAGAGAGCAGCTTGATAGTATCGCAGATACACTAAATGCACTCGGAACAGACAATAGCGACGAAATAGCCTTAAATGACACAAGTAGTGTATTCATAGGATTAATGGATCAAAAAACAGCTAGTAGTCTTACTGATATGAATTCAGCGGTAAGATTATTCATTCCAATTTGCACTTACTTTATCTTCTATTTAGCTTATATTTCTCTTAGATCAAAACTGTCGAACTTGATACGAGTTTTGATCCTGATCCTTCAAATATCGAAATATCAACTCCAGATTGCAACACTCAAAACAACACCGAACTTAGGAAACGAGATATCTTCCAGGAGCCAGCAGAACCTGAGCTAAGATTTGTATCACAGCCAAAAGACCCTTATAGATCTAATCTAGACACAGCAGACTATGTATATGATGAGCGGTATACTAAAACTACTGGCAAAGCCATTACAGTATATGTCATAGATTCTGGACTGAATTCAGAAAATTCCGAAATCCTTTCCGGGTCTTCAGGCGCCTCCTACAGGTGGCTAATGCCCACGAAATCTATTTGGCAGAAGTTAACATCACAACCGCGAACCAAGGCTGATATCAGTGGTCACGGCTCTTGTGTAATATCAAAAATTTCTGGACGGTCTGTTGGAATCGCAAAATACGCTCAAATTGTGGTACGACAACATGGGTACAATCGTAATTCTTCAATATTACGTTCTTCAATCCTTAAGAATTTATCACTTGTTGTGGCGGATGTTAAGAAGAGAAACTTGCAGGGGAAGGCCATATTAAATATGTCATTTGGTGGTAGTGAAGGGACTAGAGAGAGTCTCAAAGCATATTTGACAGCCCTGAGGAATATCCTGGTGGATAACGACATAGTAGTTGTTGCAGCATCTGGCAACGAAAAGGTAAGATATCCTCCCTCCTAGATCTAAACCTGCAGCTGGTTCAGTATGCTAAGTAATCATCGTACGTAGGCAATATCGCCTGTTATCGATCAGGTTCCTGCATTATTTGCAAGTATCAACGACTTCTCAAATCTAATTGTCGTTGGCGCAGTTGATATATATGGAAACGAGACAGATTATACGCAGGGTGGTCCTCTTCTTACTACCAGTGCTCCTGGTTCAGTATTTGATGGCGTAGGTATTTTATGCGCTGACGGACAAGGTAACAAAATGGTGCGAAAAGAGGGCACATCCTTCGCGGCGCCTACTGTTACTGGTCTTATTGCTTATTACATGTCGATAAATCCGGATCTTCAAGGGCAAGGCGCTCCTGGGAAAGTGAAAGGCTTTATCACGTCTATAATGTGGTCGCGGTTCAATGGCCCTCCATCTATCTGGAACGAAAAACAGTCTACTCCAAGTGGACCAGTTCCGTGGACAAAAAACAGAAAGAGAGCAGCAGCCGACGATGATGCCGCATGTCCCAACGGCGAGATTTCAGGTGTTCCAACTGTATCATTTGGTACAATAACCGAAGTTTCCACAGGCTCATCTCGTCCCAATACTACCTCAGATACTAGCAACACCTCATCGACTATTACTCCAACAATCAAGTCTACTTCTGCCTCACATACTAGCAGCTCCTCCTCGATCATTAATCCAACCACTACCACTACTTCTGCGAAATTGACAGAGACATCGACAGCGAAAGCAACAGCGACAGCGACAGCTGACCCGCTCACCTGTAATGGCTTAGGGGGTACTGATTGGAATGGCATGGGACGCGTATCGTTCGACCGTACTTTGGCGTAAGATCCAACCTCCCTCCCCCCTCAATTTCTCACCTCCCACATAGCACAACACTAACCATCTTACAGAATATTCGCATTAGACCACTTGTGTGGTAGCGATAGACCCACATACACCTCAGATCCAACCCAGACGTCAAACAACATCACCGGGTACGCGGGTGACAGATTCTGGTTTGATAACAGCGGCGCATTCGCGTATTCAACTAATGTGGGCTCTGGATTGGGTTGGTGGCCAAAGGATATCACAGCGAAACAACATGCAAGTGTAGACCTCTGGTTAAATGTGGCGTTCTCGTATGATCAGACGGGGTGCAAGGAGGTACAGAAGTTTGATATGCCTTCGGGAACGGATTGCACGGATATCTTTAGTCAACTGGTCGACGGCTGTGATACTGATACTACTACTAAGAAGAATGGCGGGGTGCTTCATGTGGATGGCCCGAATGGATGTGTTGATTATAGACTTTGGGCTGAAGATGCTTAGTGTTCAGCTGGCCTGTTGCTGGAATCAGTCATGCGAGTATCGTATACATATCATTCCATCAATTTGATTTTTGTTCGGTGCCTCCATGAATAAATCATGCTTCAAGATGAGAGACTCACTTGTCACAACCACTTAGCTATAGTTACTGAAATCACAAACGAATTCAACCTACCGATTGGTCTAGACAGAAAAATAGCGGCACACAATTCTAATGTGCCAGGTAGCATAGGACATTATTAAACCCCGATGAGAATAAGTAAATGCCGCTTTCTATGTCCGGCATAGGGAAATACAATAAAGAGCTTAAGGCCTCATAATTTACCGTCCTTTTGTAGGGAAGGCCGCAAAACGAATCGATAGAGAAAAAGAAAAAATATATATTAAGTTAATTTCAGTAAAATTTGTGTACAGGTGAGTATATGATATTTCAAGTACCTTTAAGTAAGGTTTATTAAGACTTTATATCTTCATATATATATTTCATTTCAACTGAAATATAAAAGAATTTGATGTTGAAAGGAAAGTAATTTCTGCTTCAAGAGGACAATTAATATTTCGGATAGGTGGTAATTAAGGTAATGGCTTAATTAGCTGAAAATTCCGTAGTCGAGGCTGAGAGGTCGATCGATCACATTGGGTCTGAAAAAAGCCCAATACGTATAGTACAGCAGTGGGGAATATTGGCCAATAGCCTAACGCCTGAACTCAACTCGCGCATCAACAACTTTATATCCCAACCCAGCCTCAAGTTTCAGGGAACTAGCATTCCTTCCCACAACCATCTGATTTACTACACATATGCATGCCATGCCATGTCATTCCGCACGGTCGCCCCACTCGGTCAAGGAAACGATCCCGATCCCGATCCTACAGGATCGAGGCTGCATGCGTCAACGTAGCTTACTGTCCATCCCGCTACCTAGATAAGCGAGAAGAAGTGTATGGATGGGTGCGGAGGCGAGAAGGAAGGAAGGAGGGTTGTTTTAGCTTTTATGGGTGATGTTGCATGTAAGCTTGAATTGCTGATCAGGGAAAGTGAGTTAAGCGCCATCCGTCTATCTATCTGAAGTCTAAAGATTTTTCTTAATCGATATATAGGAAGTGCGTATAGACTTAGTATGTATATGTTGAAGTACTATAGTGCTTCTAACCAGACGTATATTCTACGTGTACACATCAGAATTTCAGGGCCGGGATTTGAAGTTATGGTTATAGTACAGCCCGCCTGAATCTAGAAGATAGATGCAACATCTAAGTATATTTGCGGCTCAACCATCATACTTACCTCGTAGGGCCGTAGGATGCGTGCAGATGTGTTTCACAGTCCGATGCGCTGGCTATTCCAAGAACGACGGAAGGGTAAGTCTACTAGCCAGTTGATTGATGCGGCTGAAATGTGAACGGAATCCATAAATAGCATACGGGACATCAATCACACCTGCCTCTATCGATCCCAAGCGTTTCATCAGACGGGGGCTTTTCACGTAAATCCATACCCAAACTCAAAAGGAGTGTTTTATATCCTCAATAGTATTAGCGCCACCTCTCTCTCAACCAATCAGCACGCTTGGAGAATTTTTAATATGGCAAGTGCCGCTTTTCATATTAGCGGCTCTCTTATAGAAAAGTCTATATAACATTCTAGAAGTTACGCGCTTTTTTCTTTCCTACCTACCTTCACTTTGCTCGTCCCTCTACTTGATATATATTATAGATATACATTAAAACTTGAACTTCAATAAATGCATGTATCATATAAGCTAGTTCAGTCTAAGAGTATGGGTATTACATAGTGCACTTTGCTGTCTTAGTAACTTGACTTATATTAGTTGCTTTCGCTGTCTTTGGTGGTTTGTTTCTAAGTGTAATGATAAGGCGAGGAGGCTCTGCATCGTTTAGTCATCCACGTTAGTATCATGTGACCATGCACGTGCAAACCTATCCCGACCAAGAGACCTTTCCTTGTCTGAAACATATATAATTGCTTCCACTCTGCCGGTGCTATATGTGTTTTTATATACGATTTATAACGCTTTTTAAGTCTCTAGGGATAGAGGATAGAGGATATGGTATATGCATAATAGTAGTTTCCATATAAAAATAGTATATCTCTAGTATACCTTAATGTGAAGATATCAAGAATAGCAGGTAAAGAGATGCATACGTAAAGAGGTGAAGGTAGTGTAGTAGTAAAATAGATATTAATTCCTAGTATCTTATCTTATTATGTCCATCCACCGACCCACCTCTCTACTTCCTATATTAGCATAATAATGCTTTAACTCTGTTCATTCGCTCGCTCTTTTACTTCCCATTAACACCAAACTCCCCCTTAAAAGCAAACCCCTTCCACTCCTGCTACCTAACGCACAATTACAAATCCATCTATCCGTCCATTTAAAGTCCCTTTGCGCGTTGATCCGATCGCATCTCACACCAACTTTGGTTCATGTGCCCTGCATCCTTCCCCCTCCCTCCCTTCCTCTCCCATGTAAAGGCCCAATCAAATCATACACGTTATACCATATATCAAGCGCCAATCCTCACATACCCCTGCACAACCTGCGCATGCTCCAGTCCTTCCATATTACTACTCCTAGCACCCACGCCTGTTCCATTCGAGAGCCTGTATTTCGCAGCCGGTGCATCCATTTCCACAAACGATTCATCGTCGTCCATGTCTGCATCGGCGTCTGCGTCTACGTCTCCATCGGCGTCTTGATCGCTGTCCATACCGTTTTGCATCTGTGGCGGGTTGTGATTTTGTTGCGGTTGTTGGTTGTAAGTGTGGTGTTGGCTTTGAGCTTGATTTCGAGTATTGTTGGAGAGTTGGTTTGGTGAATGTTGCTGTTGGTGGTTATGGAGGCGGTTGTGGTTTTGCATTTGCTGCTGCTGTTGTGGAGCGGGAGCAATACGCTGATGCGTTTGCTGCCCTTGCTGACTTTGGTGCTGTGGAAGTTGTGGGTGCTGGTTCGTGAGAGGAGTAGTGGTAGTCGGGGGAGTACTCTCTCCGCTCAACGACCGCTGTGAAGCCATTCCCCCATTTCCATTGCCACCGCTACCCCTCGTCGACTTAATCACATTCTTCCACCTCCCTACCGCCCGCTCAATAGCAGTATCCAAATGCACATGTCTATCCATAAGATCGAACCCCACGCCGCGCCCTTCATACTTGGTACCCAGCTCCCCGATCTCTGTCATTAACTCCCCCGATAGCCCTACTGTCCTGGGACTCACCAGCCTAAACTCCCTTGGCTGCTGCAATCGACTCAGCTCATCAACCTGCTGTTTCAAGTGCGTCGCTTCCTGTAGTATAAATTCCTTTTCCTTCTTTAGCTTCTCTATATCTTGACTCTTTTTGCCTACGCTGCGCGCGACTTCTAGCATCCACATCTCCTGTCTTTTCTGCGCTGATAGACCGTTCCAATGCGCAAAGGCGCTGTGCAGGTGTTCTGAGATGCGGGATTCTAGGTCTGAGGCGGAGGCTTCGGCGCGTTGGGCCATTTCTGCGGGATCGTCGACGCCTGCGAAGAGATGAGGGGGAGGCGGGTAGGAGAGGTCGTCTGCTTGCATTGTGTTTGCTATTGCGCAGGAGACTCGCCAACGGTGGAATTCGGAGGAGAAGTGGGAGCGGAGGGCTTGGTATTGGTGATCATCTGGAGGGAGAATGGACCATGATGAAGAGTTAGGGAGGGGCGTTGATTGATATAACGTAGGTGGGGGAGGTAGACAGTGTAGACAGAGAGCAGGGAAATCGAGAGACAAGGGGTCGTAGTCGAATATTGTAGGGCCCTCGATGTTTTTTCTATACCTATTAGTCTCACAGTTCAGGTGAAGGGGTAAAGGGGCTAAGATACTTACTTTGCAGCTCTAATTGACCCCAACAATTCCCGCAGCGCCAGTTCTGCTGCTTTCGCATTATCCAAAGCCTCTATCATCTTCTGCTTTTGCTCAAAGGTTGTCTTTGCCAGCATCTGCTTGCTAACAGACCGAGCCCTATGTTCCACCTTTCTGCCCGCATCCCTCTCGTCACCACCATCCCAGCTCCGCACCGAATCACCATTTCTACTTGGCGGAATGACATTCATGACCCCTGTTGCCTCCCACGTAGGTTGGTTTATCGTATAGGCCGGCTTCCCGTGGTAAGCCAGTCGATCGGAAGATGCATTATCATCTCTCCTTGGTGAAGGGTTTCCCGAGGCAGACCCTGGCCTAGGACTCCTCCTATCATGCGCACTGGGCGTGCCCGCTGGTGTAGAGCCCTCCCTCTTAGACGTCGAATTCCTCGGCTGCCTCCTTGTGATGCCCCCTCGCAGCTTCCTGATCTCGTCGACATCATGTAGTCCGTCCGGCGGTTTGGGGTTCTTGTCCTTGATATAGAGATCGAGATGGCGGCCGAGGGAGGACGATGTAAATTGCTGGCGACAGAAGGGACATGCTTTGTCTTTGCCGGCCTTGCTGCCGTTGATTGAGGTGTCGGCGTTGGATCCAGGGGTACCCATCTGTTCGGCCATGTTGTTCATACAAATGCGAATGCGAATGCGATGCGCTTCGAACGTCTATTGTCGCATTGGGGGTGATTATCCTTAGATGGGCGGAAGAGTCTTGTTTCGTGGGGAGGAAGATGGAGAGGGGTAATAAGGAATGAAGAGTGTAAATTTATTTTCGAAGTGGAGGTGGAGGTGGAGTTGGACTTGGAGTTGGAGTTGGGAAGGATTTAATGCTGGCGTGGAAAGAATTGTTCTCGAAGGTTAAGGTTGACAATTCAAGGGGTTACAGCACTTGGGTTGCGTTGCTGAATAGGGACGCGCACTGGGTAGATGGTGTAGGGTAGAGGTAGGGTAGAGGTAGGGTATGTTGGTTTATTTCGGTTCGGTCCAGGGATGATTGTCGGCGGCTATATTGGGCACTACCATCGCTCGCATCGCATCCCTTTATTATCCCTGCTACTTACTGTACAGTAGGAAGGAGGAGCTTGAAACAGAGAAAAAACAAGCCAGTCATGTCACCCATTACTCAGAAAAGAAGTCAGGATTTACAACTACTCATACTGTAGGATTCAACGATGCATGCATGCATGGCAGAAACGTGGTTCAAGATGCTGACGTTTAGAGGGTGAGTGGTATGGGTTAATACGAAGGCTGCATATTAGGTCGACTTTACATACACACCAAATGGCGTGGCATAAAATTATACGTATAGCATAGGTATTGTCTTCACATGATACTGCGTCAAGTTTGGTGGTTGCTTATGAGCGTGCAAGAGTTTTTTGAGGCTGGTGGTTATTGGTGTCCTAAGATATAGGACTTAGACTCATTTTGACGCCCTCTTCCATGCAATCAAGGCACCTGGTGCACCACAAGTCATCAATGCATCGCATCTCAGAGACAACTTCAAAACCCGAAACCAAACAGAGCCCAATCACTGCAGCAATGGATCCTACAAATGTTAGCATACCGCTTCCATGTCGCAATGTCGAAAAGACTTACTCTGAAATGTTTCTGCGAGTTGTTTTGCTTGTTCACGCCCCATTCGTACTTTCTTCTGGCACGCTCCTCAAACTTCCTTGACCTCTTCTCCGCAGCCTGCACCTCTTTCTTCTTCTCCGCAGTAACTCCCACCATTCCAAGGTGATCACGGCTTGTAAGAGCTCTGCCGCGGTCGTTTCGCCGTGCAACTGGCTCATCCTCTATTTCCATATCCTCATCCATTTCTGAGGCTTCGATAGCTTGCTGTTCCTGTCGCTCTGCAGCCGAAGGATGATTGTGCAGATTCTGTCGGTAGTATTTGTTCAGGGATCGGTGACCTGCAGTTCTTCCAGAAGGAAGATGTAGCTCATAATCTGAATAGAACACGGCATGGGCATGCTTGTGTGCATGAGAGTGCCAGCCATCCTTGTTGTGATGAGGTCGAGGATCCGAGTGTGTATGATGAGGATGCTTATCCAACTTTTCATACTGGTGTTCACGTTGGTCAAGTGGCACGGCTGTGAGGTCAGCCGAGTCCAAAGACGACTCTGAGCTGTCTGTCTCCCATCCGTCACCCTCACCCATGGCATCATCACCATCTTTGTCAGTCATCGCCTCACGTCTCGCACCCAACTTGGCACCGCCACTTTGTTTCTTGCCAGGCAGCGCATCCTCGGACTCGGACTCATCCTCCTCGTCGGAATAAGTGCTTCTAAAGTCATAGAACTCTCCAATCTGAAGCTGATCCTCCTCTGTTGCAAACGGAATTGTGCAATGGCCTTTATCCCGCATGTGAGTTTGAAGACCAAACACAGTTGGCTTGAGTTTTCCGCAAAACAAACATTCCTGGTACTCATTAATTTTCTCATACAATGAACCGATCAATCCTTCAAGATCTACCAAGTAAGCCTTCTCGGGAATAAACATGCCATGAATACGTTCCATGTGCGCAGCATTCAAAGAGACAGAAGGAGAGTCGTAGTTGCAGAACAGGCAGCGCTTTAGAGTTGTCTCTCGGGGAACCTCATCATCCGCCGCTGTGACAGATGATGCTGTTACCACAGATACTTGATCATCTTGCGCTGAATGATGTGGTCGAGAAGGTCTCTTGGACCCAGACGGAGCATCCTTCAAATTTGTCTTTTTGAGACCCTCAACAACCTCACTGAACTCCTCCTCGGCATCGGAGTCAACTTCTTCATCCACAGCAGCCGTCGGTTCACCCAAAGAAAAGGTCGAGCTCATGACGGAACTCGTGTCGTCATCCGCAGGTCGGTTTCCAACCGCTACAAGCTTCGCCTTGTGCTTCTGGCTCCCCAAATGATTTCGATATGCATTCTCGCTGAAGTAGGTCCGTACGCAGACATTGCAAGTCTTCTCGTAGGCCGCCTTGGTCGCTGCTTCGGTGTTTGAGGCTTGGGCTTGAAGAACCTTTTCCGTGAATGTTTCCGAGGTGATGGGTGGGAGGGAGGTAACACGACGTTTCAGGTTGTATCGACTATCCAAAGCGGTTAACAAAGATATTATTTGTGAGAAAGTATCCAAGACCTACTGCCAATCACTGCGCATATGCCCTCTCTGGAGCTCGCTATTCCTGAACGCCACTTGACAAGTGTTGCAAGTATATGGATGGGTCGACGAGGTATCTGCTGAAGCAGCCGTAGGAGTGGCTCTGTTAGCCGTTATTGATGCCATCTTGGAAGTAATTCTAAAGAGCTTGTTCGAAGGCTGTGCTGTCGCAATATAGATGTGTGTTGAATGGGTTTTGGCAGATTCGAAATATGCCAGAAAGGTAGTTGACGGTGTTCGACTTCTTTCCGGAGTTCCTGTTGCTTGCAAATTAGAAAGTGAAAGTGCAACGACGAGTTGAAAATGTTGTATTCAAAGGTGACAAATAGAACAAGACGTACTACTTTGACGAGGGTGTGGTGCTGCTTTCACTTTTCCGCCAGATGAAGTCACACGTAAAATCTGTGGTGGGGGTTTTCACAATCTCGCCCGCACAGTGCACAGAGATAATAGCCGCTGACTAATCGCGCGTCATCTGTACTAGTGCTCTAGCCATATTAGGACAGGGGCAGCCTGATATTAGACGCGCCAGAATACCGTATAGTACCGTCGTACCGTATTTCAGCCGCGTCCCGGACGCTTATGCCTACCTACCTAGGACTCCACACGATAAACCAACATCGACACTTCAAGAACGAAATTCAGATGGTATACCAGAAATAACACTTCGCATAGAAACTCCTGTCTATGAGCTACGACTACTAACGACCACCGCCGCGACTAATGTTGTCATGACTCGAGATATCCAAAGGCTTCACCATGAACACGATCCTGCTACTGAGGATGAGGTCTACGCAGCCTTGTGGGCAACAACGCCATTTCCACGTCTCCCTCCCGATGCGCCAGAGGCCTTAAAGAAGGTCACCATCGACATTGATGATCCAAGACGAGTATATACAATCCATCATGCAGCTCGGCGCTACCACTTCCAGATTCTAGTTGAAAGGTAGCCTCCCCTCCCCGCCTTTTCTCCAAGGTTCCCCTTTCTTTGCTAAAACCTCCTAGATACATATTCCAGATCAGATACGGATGCACCTCGGAAACCTGCAGTACTTCAACATGCTTCTCCTCTCGAAAGCATGTTGCAGGCGGCGCCCCTGTTCGCAGATACAATGCGACAAGTGCCCGGACACTGGCTGTGTATATGGCAAGCCAAGATAATCCAGAGCAGGGACTTTGTCATCACCCAGGTGCAAATCATTCTATACTACAGGTGAAAGTCCCTCCAAAACCTAAGAAACAGGCGAATGGGAGTGTGCAACCACCCGAGAAAAAGGAAAGGTTAGCTGGGCAAGAAAGCAGCGATGGTGATGAGTCTAAGGGGCAACCAGCGGGCAGGATACACCCTGGCGGCGATGCCACGAAAGGGAAGACCAACAGCAATAGTCCCAAGGACGAGGAACCACCTACGAATATTGGTGTAGATCCGTTGAAAAGCCTAGACGAGCCTACAAGTACCGACCATCGATCGTTCGTTCAAAATGTATTTGGGACGACTGCTTTCAAGATGTTGGAATGGCTTACACCAAGGAGTCTAGAACTTCTAAGTAGACCAGAGGAGATTGCAAAGTTGGCCGACAAGGATAACCCTAAACCATCGCCCCAGGATCTTCACAATTCTAAATCGAACGACCTGAAAGAGAAAGCGAACGTTGCTTCGGCAATACGTAGCAGCTCAGAAGACAGCATATTGCAGAAGCCGGCGCCTGTCAAGGTAGCAAAGGAAGCATCACACCCCAAACCATCTCCGAGGACTGCAAAAGCTCCACCAAGCTTACAAGACTCCAAATCCAAACCAACCTCTAGACCTACCCAGAAATCGACCTCAAGCTCACATCGCCAGAAAAAATCAGACTTAAGGGAAGATCACGCACCAAAGGGCATTCTGAACATACCCTCCATGCCATCCGATCCCTCCATGGACATGACTTTACCCCAGTTCCGACCTTCGCATACCAAGCAGAATATATCACGTCAGTCCTCGAACACGGGTCCTCAACTACAGGTTGCCGAGATCACGTCAATAACAGCCGGAAAATCGTCGTCGGTCAGAATAATCACTGAACAGAAAAGGCCACCTGCTGTGAGCGAAGACAGTCCAGCCCCAAAAGAGGAGGCTATTTTTACAGCAAAAGTGAAAATAGAAAACATACCACAGAGAACCGATGTCTCAAGACCCCCTTCCATCAAGAGTCCATCTTCCCCACAGTCCATGTCCGGCCTTCCTATCGAATTAATCGATTTTCTCTGTGATGTTATGCATACGGATGGCACTACTGAGAAGCATGATTTGGAGCAAATGACCATCAATGACAAGACAGTGAAGATTTTGCATAGGCCATATCCAAAACTGAAGCGCCAAGATCCAGGGTTGAGCGATCTAGACCCAATAGCACTTAAGGAAAGATGGCGATCCTTTATCGAACAATCCTTCTTCGACGTTCTTTCTAAACCCGATTCCTTACTCCAGTCGTTCAGGGACAGCGATGGCCAGTTACTCGACACGCACACGATCTGGTACCTCTTGCTTCGAATGACAAGAGTAGCCCCATCAATCGTGTTCCACGGCCTCTGGATTGTTGCAGGTGTTCTTTATAATCTTCCCGATAAGCTAGAAACGGTTCATGACTGGGCGAAACCACCTGAGAATAGCCCATCCAGCAAGTCTCTTTCGAATGAAGAGGCTGCAGAAGTCATGAGCATATGCCTTCATGCTTTGGTTGCAGCTGCACCCCTTGTTTCCAATGCGAGACAACTGGCGAACATGTCTAGAATTCGCTCATATGGTTTGACGGTGCTAGGAAGAGATAAATCATCACTAGAGCCTACAAACCTATGTCTTGCATACGAAGATGCTTTTACGAATGAGCTGGCTCTGAGACTTGCTCGTAGACTATTTGCGTCAATACCCACGAGAAGACGATTCTCTGAATTGCTGGATGTTCAGAATGATGTGCGAAACGATGATGAGCGTGAGCCAGATGTTCTTGAGGCGCTACTAGCGAAACTTAAGTTTCTCGATCTAGAGATAACTCCTGCGTTGTCATTTAATCTTGACGAACGGGATCTACATGAGAAGAGAGTGCCAACTTTGCTCCTCGACTGGGCTCGAACCGTGTTGCTTCAAGATTGGCAGGGATCCGCTGAAGTGCCCGCCGAGGGAGCTTTCGGTGGAGCCCTAGCCTTGATTGCTGCCATATGTCTGTACCTCTGTCCCTTTTTGTTTCCGCCCATGCTGATAATCTTAGACAAACATAGAAAGTCGTTACTTCTTGGGGATATCCACTTCCGTACCGAGTATTTCGCTGAACGTCTGGACCCACTTGCCATGCCTCTCGAATGGTTAAAATTTGAATCGAACAAACGAACTGTTCACTTGCTCGATTTTCCATACCTTTTCAACCCTTCAACATTAGTCACATACTTCCGCTCAATCAATTACTCCCGCATGAACCAAGCCTATGAAGTAGCCAGAGCTACCAGCGGACTTATGAGATCTATAGATCCTGAAATGAAGTTATTACCCGATCAAAGTGCTCGTTACAGACTTCTTGATCGTCTGCAGACTGGCACTTCCTGCTTCATGGTACTCGAGATTAGTCGACGAAATGTGCTTGAAGATACCTTTAATGCTATTTGGAGACGAGAGGAACGTGAAATTATGCGGCCTTTGAAGATCCGATTAGGTGAGGAAGGTGGAGAAGAAGGTATGGATTCTGGTGGGGTGCAACAGGAGTTCTTCAGACTAGCCATTGCGGCTGCTCTTGATCCTGACTATGGTAAGCAACTTCTTCTCGTCTCCGATCAGTGCTAATGTAAATAGGCACCTTCACTATTGACAGCAGAACCAAAATGACTTGGTTTCAGCCCGGCTCTCCCGAACCCCTCTGGAAATTCGAACTCATTGGCCTAATCATATCCCTCGCCATCTACAACGGCCTCACCCTCCCCGTAACTTTCCCAAAAGCCCTCTACCAAAAGCTCCTCAGTGAAGAAGTCTCCGAACTCCACCACATCGCAGACGGCTGGCCCGACCTGGCCAATGGCCTTACCACCCTCCTCGAATGGGACGAAAAAGACGGGCTAATCGAAGACATCTTCGCCCGCACGTACGAATTCAGCGTCGAGCAATTCGGTCAGCCCATCTCCATGGAAATGGGTGCTAATGCAGCCACCCCAACAACTCACTGGCCCCAATTCACCGATGCGCACACATCTTTCAACCCTGTAGACGCGCCTATGGTCACGAACGCCAACCGCAACAATTATGTGAGCGATTATATCCGCTTCCTCACAGATGTCTCAATCCGCCCACAATTCGACGCTTTTAAAAAAGGGTTCTTCGCCTGTATATCCCCCGCATCTCTCACCCTCTTCACACCCACCACCCTGCAATCAATTCTCGAAGGTATCCAAGAAATCGACATCGCCGAGCTGCGGCGCTGCACGCGCTACATTGGTTGGGACGCATCCCACCGCACCGTGCGGGACTTTTGGAGTATCGTGAAAAAGTACGACTTGGAACATAGAAAGAAACTGCTGGAATTCGTGACGGCTAGTGATAGAGTTCCTGTGGGAGGCATGCGGAATCTGCAGTTTACGCTGCAGAGAAATGGGGTTGGGGATGGGCAGTTGCCGAGTAGTTATACTTGTTATGGGATTTTGCTGATGCCGGAGTACTCGGGGAAGGAGGTGTTGAAGGAGAAGTTGGGCATGGCGTTGGAGAATTCTCAGGGTTTTGGGTTTGCGTGATGGAGAGGGTGGGAAACGAAGTGGAAAGTATAGGGGGGTTTGTATGACATATTAATGCATGTCTTGTCTTGGCGTGGATTAACTAAGAATTCATTGGACACTAGAGGCGTTTTGATGTTGATATGCAGGTTTTTCTTTCCACAATCAATATACACGGAACTGCCAGCTTATCTCAGCCCTCCTTCTTTGTTTTATACGTGGAACCAAATGATCGGGATTGTATAAGCATTGCAGGTGAGTCTTACGTGCTAGGTTGTGGATGCACAACCGCCGCAGAGACAGTAATCTCCAACCTCGCCGGCCCTGTCAGCGACGCAACACAGACCCCACACCATGCGGGCCTATTTGCACCCAAATAATGGCCTATGGCCTCATCCAAACCCGCACTATGCTCCTCAATTGGTCCAACATGATAGGTGGTCATTTTATAGACTGCCTGCCAACCCTGTTTGACGCCCGCAGCAAGAAGAGCATTCTCGACATTCTTAAATGCCAGCAGGATTTCTTCTCTTAGCCCCTCTGGGTATTCGATGTCGATATTGCATCCGGTATGGCCACAAGTTTCATAGACGGTTGCCGTAGGTGGAATGACAATTACAGAGCTGATGTTGTATAGAGGCGAGAGCTTTTCGCCGATGCCTGGGGCGTTGATGTATCGAAGACCAAGGGAAGTAAGAGGACCAGTATATTCTGTCATGGTGTTTATAGTGAGAGAGCGAATATACTAGCTGGGTGGAAAAGAGAAGGTCGGAGAGTGTGGTTGGTGAGGTTTGATAATAGCTGTTGATGACTGCCGTATTATCGCACCGTTATGTGAATTGACAGAAGATGACAAGCAAATTTTCAAACGTAAAGTGACGACCAGGAGTTAGAAGAGGTCGATAGTATGTTATTCTATAGTTGAAATATACTCTTAATTGAAAAGATAGGCAGAGAAGAGGGTAGTTATCTATTTAAAGTATATTTCTGGAAATAGTACTTCACAGCGAAGCTGATCATAGTATAGGGTGCGAGTCCCATAGAAGCAGATTGATTCGAGAAAGGAAACTAACAGCGAGGGAGTGATAAGGAAGTTTGAATATATTTTAAATCGGACACTCACGACTCATAAACCATGAACCACTTTAAATCTAGTGATGCATTCAGGAGAATGAACTAAACTATGCTGACACAAAGTGCTGATAAGGGCAGAAGTTCTTTTTCCGTGGCATAAAGTTCCAATACCACTGCCGATAGCCTTGCTGTCAATTATTTTACTTAGCAGCGCGAAAATACTTTGTTGAACACGGAAATACAGTAGGGATGAGAAAACAACGCCGCGTTCAAGGGCAACAGGTTTGTTTAACACACTTAGAATTGGCATACACCCTTCTATATCTTAGCATCTTCTTTGCCCATCATCTATTATCAATTTTGCCAAATGCCCAGAACCTCGAGCGATGACGGAGGGACTTGCGATGATATAACAGAGAAGCACTTAGAGACACTGAGTGGATGCTTCAGCTGGCTCGGCCATCTTCTGCTTCGAAGACGTGTGTACCTTGAATCTACATTTTCTCGGCGAGTCCAATAAACTATCTCGACTTTGATTCAGCTTATGTCGACAATGCCTGTGGGCTATGGACCGATTCATCATTGCTCCTTATTTTCTGCGTTCCTGCTCGGGAAAAAGTCACTAAAGAAGACCGTGAGTGGGTGAAGCAGAGACACGAGCAGATGGAACAAGTGTATTCAAAACGTAGATTATAGAAAATGTTAATATTGACGCACGAATTATACTGCTGCTAAGACACAGTTGCTGTATTACTCGCCCTAGGCTGGTTTCATCGCAAGAAAATCTCATCTTCGTATATCTTCGTCATTGTATTCTAGCTACATATCATACAGGAAACCAGCTCCCTCAAGCCTCAAGTTTTAGATGTGGGAGTGATTCTCGACGGCCAGAGACAATTACTGCTTCGGGGGTCGTGAAAATCTTGTGTGAGTAGCACACCCAGTTGATGCCACTGATGGCAACAATGCCAGCAAAGACCACCACGGCAAAATTCATCGTCTGCGGGGTAACAGGAACGTAAAGAGGGAAGCACAACCAGACGAAGACAAACACGATCCAACAAACGGAGATGACATTCAGCGCTGTACCAAAAGTACGGCCAAGATCACAGTAATGCGGTGCGGCGAACGCGGATCGCTTATTCAGCAGCGATAAAGTGATTGGGATGGCATACGATGCGAAGATGCAGAGAATGGCTCCGCCAAGAATGGCATTGAGCGCGGTCGAGGATCCAAGTTCGATCAACCCAATTAATGCAGCACCAATAAAGCCGAACAAGACGGCGTTGACTGGTATCAGTGACTTCTCGTTTACTCGGCTCATCAAGCCAGCAAATGGTACTCCTCCCTCTCTTGCAAATGCCCACCACACCCGGCTGAATGTGGTCATCACAGTTGCGCTGGAGAAGAAGAAGCAAATGATGAAGATAACGACCGAAATCACGGTCAGGGCAAGGGAGTCCAGGGAATCGACTAGCAGCTGAGCAACTGGTTGCGCTCCAACGGGCGTTAAGAGATTCGCGGCATTCGTAATAGAAAACATTAGGACAAGAATCATCACTAAGCCACCTAGACCGTTACATAGCGCACTCAGGAGCATGACTTGCGGTACCTGGCGATGGGGAGCAGGCATCTCCTCGGCCATATGTGCGGCGCAGTCGAATCCATTCACGGCGGTAAGACCCGGGAGTAAGCCTAAGAAGAATACGACGCCATTCGAAGACCAGCCCGTGAGATTAACGATGTCGACGAAGACATATTCCGCGCTCTGTTTGGGGTGGGCTCGAACCAGAAGGACAATAATGATAAATAAGGCGCCGACGTTAATATAGACCACGAGGCCTTTAAGAAGGTATGGATACCACCGAAATAAGGGTACATTGACGAGGAAGCTGAAACCACCGGCAGCCAGATATGCCACGTAAAAGTGCCAAGGCTGTGTGATGAATGTCGAGTTGCAAATTTGTACCAAGGCCCAGATCAACTGGGACGTGATAAGAATCGTCGCAGCCATCCAGAAGAAGTAGCCAGCGCAGGTGAGCCAGCCTACGATATAGCTCAGGCCTCGGGCATGCTTGGCGGGTGCCAGTTCTGCCGTCCAGAAGATCTGACCTGGAAAGGGACGGTGTCAGTGTTTATGAAATCACCACTCATATCATTAGATATCAAAACTGACCAGCGGAGTGAGGAAACACAGCGGCCATTTCCGCCAAAGAAGCGCAAACCAAGAAGTTCATAGTGACGGCGAGGATATAACCAAAGAAGAATACCGGACTACCCCCTACTCCCACACTGACGGAGAGGTAGGTGCCGATGGCGATCGGAGTCGACGTTATAGCGAAAGCTATCCCTAAGGTACTCCATAGCTGAAAAGGTTTCTCTGGCTGGGGGTTGTCTACGTGAGCCTCGCCCTCATAGATGCTGATCCGATCGGAGTTGTCGCTATTGTTGTTGGTTGTGATTTCTGGCGATGCCATTGGAGCCTTCATCCTTTTTTCTGCATCTCCTGTCGGGTATGTCGACATGATAGAGACCTAGTGGAGGAAGCCGGTAGATAGAGATGTGACAATGCAGAGCAATATATATATATATATCTCTTTTTCTATCGCTGACTCTAGAGCGAGTATTGATGATAGAGAGAGACGTACATTTAAGCAAGATATCCACTTTGCTTTATATACAGTATCGCATGAAACAACAATCGTTGAGACGATGTGATCCTGACATACAGATAGTATAGTACTATAGATTGCGATTACTATAAAGAAGACATAGCGAGCAGAACCGGCCCGTCGGTTTGAGACAGTTTCCAGGGAGGAAGGGAACAGCGAGTACAACTAGATCTGATTAGGGTAGATACATAGAGGCGAGGCGGCTCGATACCATATACAATTAATCATAATAGCTACTGTATTTCCTCCTATTCCTTATCAAAGGAGGCCCATTCGGGTTTAGTATAGGACTAGTAAGGACGCGATCTCCACCTCTCCACCCGACGATTAAAAGACCAAGGGCCGGCCACCTACGGACAACAGCATGGGCCCGTCCCGAAGAACGATAAGCGACTGCCATCGGCCAATTCCCCGGCACACCACGGGAGACAAGAACGGCACGCCTTAATAGGGCAGGCCACAGCGAGACCTATGAACGGAGGTACAGCCTATAACTAGTAACACTCTATTCTAAGTAGAGTAATACTAATAACTTACACTTTACCTAGTCTTTAGTATTAATAACAGCTTAATAGTGTTCTAGTATACTCTTAAATAGACTTTTAAATTTATATTCTTCTACTTTATTCTATATAATAGTTAAGTTATTGTTGCGATACTTGAACCGCATCGCGAACCGCATCACGACCTTTCTAGTCATGTGATCTAGCTTAGTCAGCAAAGAGGCATAACCTCTTCGCGTCTACACCACCATATGAATGCTAAGCAACATCAACCAGTATCAAGTCTACTACGTAGTATAGAAGTGATCACGGATTATCACCCTGTGATACCAACAGTTATAAAACGTTTATAAAAACGTATTAATTTTAATATATCAATACCTTGAATGCTTTTCAAGTAGTACTACCCTATTTATCGTATTCTATTACGTACGCTCGCATTATGAAGGTTTCCTCGGCGAGCACTATTTAGAGAATTTCACCCTCATGACTATCTAATTTGTCTTTTTCGAGAACCTTATCATTGAACATTCCCGACTACTGGCATGCAATCTAACAAGCCACAAAATTTCAAACTTCACTAATCACTATAGTCTTTCAGAAAGGAGTAGCCGTTATGATCGTCTACTCTATGACTTAGGCTAGAAGTATATCAAGTCCCATATCCGTCATTGTATCATGCCAACTGACATCACATTCTGCAGTGCTATTGTCCCTCCGCTGCCAGACCTCAACAACGACCTTTTCGGCAGAGATTATGTTACCAATCCCGCGCGCCTTGCCTTTTTCCAGCAGGCGAAGTGAACGGGCCCTTAGGTCATTTACTTCCTCAGCCTCGCAAAACGTAATAAATTCGGGCCAAAAGAGTCCACAGACTTCAAATCCCTTTTCGGACTCGAGAACGCGAGTTGCATCTAGGTGATCAAGGCTCCGTTGAACGAGACGCTGGAGCTGATGTGAAGGTGTTCGCCGGACGCACCGTTCAAAATATATGAGGCAGGCGCAGAAAAAGGCACAAGTATGATGTCGGGTTATCTCGTCACAGTCAGGATTAATATCTGACACCAAAACATCGGGATCGTTGCGACGAATATGGAGTTCGAGGTCATTTTTCTGATCTTCGGTTGCTTGGGAGGCATTCGATAAGGCGTTGATGCGGATAATTGCTTGCAAAAGCGGCTTTGTGACACCGAAAAGCAGGTCTAAGCAATACCCAGTATTCCAGTCGACCATGGAGCTTGCAATCATCTGGTTTTTTGGCTCTTCATGAGGGGTTCCACTGTTCTGGCCATCAGCTTCGGGATTTCCCAGTGCGTCTACGCAGAAGAATATCTGACGGAGAAGAGAAAAGCTAGGACTCTGTTTCCCAGTCAAAGACTGGAGCCAAGTCTTGCCGCCTGCAATATGCGTACGCCAGGTCGTGGAGGTGCCTTTGATGATCTCTATTGAGTTCATTGTGATTATCGTGGCTAAGATAGCCTCTTGCTGGGACGGGGGCATATCGCCCTGTGCCAGACTCCTGCGCAGATGGCGAAGGCTAATTCTATGATGCTTTGTACCAAGCTCTTCTAGATGCTTAGGAAAAGAAGATATTCCAGCGCGGTTGAAGGCTGAAAGTGCATAGATGGCATGTAAAAGCGCTGCACTTCCAGAACAATCTTCCGTTGAACATGCTGCGGCCAAAGCCAAAGGAATAAAAATAGTACGGAAGGGATTGTCGAGACGCTGCGTCGGTATCATCATGCCGCTCAAGAAGGTGACCCAGTAGTGAAGAAGTGACCGTTCCTCTGATGAGGCTATCATGACATAGTCGACGATCCTAGGGAGAACCTTTTGCTTTATTGAAACCATGGCCAGGGCAACTTCAGTCTCTTGGCCAGAAGATTGTGTTTCATGGTCGATTTGCAACTCGTCATTGCTCTGATCCAACTGTTGGGAGACGTCACTTGATTGACAGTCCGATGGGTCACATAAGTCCGGCGACTCACAAGCAGCAAGCTGAGAGTTGGTCTCAGGAGTGCTGGATTCAGTACGCGGAACCGGGGGTTCGGATGCTGGGAATACAGAAAACAGGTCGGCCACTACAGTGAGGGGGAAAGGACATGCCTCCACCTTCTCCAATGCAGAACGTATCTGACGGGAGCTGAGAAGAGGACACTCGGTTGTAAAGAACGTCCGACGCTGAGCAGGCTTCGCCCCATCTTCTTGGTCGTCCTGCCAGACCAGTTTGACATGGTAGCCCTCACACACGATCCCCCTCTGAGCGCATCGTAGACAGGTCGGCCTGGCCTCATCGCATTTGGTACTGCGGGATCGACATGTCCAGCAGCCTGTGTAGGTCTTGGCTCGCTGCACAGGGTTCCTGAGCTTCACAGGTGGTGGTCGTTGTATCGTAAATGAGCGCGACTTGCGATTGCGGGTCGCCGGCATAGTAGTCAGTAGCCCATGACCTGCGGGCTCGATAAAATGCGGGGCGAGGTATTCGAGGATTATATCTCATATACCCAGGTAGTCAACTCAACAGGGCATTTCACAGCTACGGTATGTAACAGCGTGCAGTATGTATTTATGATTTCGAAATAGAAGGCGACAGAGCGAGGGCCGCACGCATCCTGATGATAAGGATAGGCCCACAAAGAGTTGGAGGTATAGAGCAGAGCTAGTGGCGTAGTTGACGGTTATGATAAGCTTACCTATCCTATCCCACTAATCAGACCCTACACCGGTGTTTGGTGGGGCGCTTATGTTAAAGGTGTAGAAATCGGTAAAATGGGGTCAAAATCACGATTCAGTCAATCACAACACCCCACTTCCAAAAACCGGTTGAGGAATTTATTTTATACTGATAGTATTTATATGAGAACAATCTACGAAACAACCTATAGTATAATCCGAATATAATCTGAGCATAATCCGGTCTCGAATTATTTCTGCCAAATAGGACCTAAGAAATCCACTAGTAGATACTCAGTAAACGATGTAGCGCGCTGTCATAATATAAAGCTGCAAAATATGATTTCGGACCGGGAGATCATAGTGATTATGGAGGTTATGGACAAAATTAGAAAGTAGAAATGATATTGTTTTTCCTTATCTTACTGAATTCCTGCCGATTTGGAAAACTGGGAGTCATTCCATCAATTCAGTGAATCATCCTTAACGGATTGAAACATATGTTCTTATGTCTTTATGGATCACCATATTTGACTTCAACATCTCTCACAAAGCTGATCGGGTCTTTGAGGTCTACCCATCCACAATATGGCTTCGACACCGAGTATCCAATCATCCTCTGAATATTTTCCGGCATCTTCCGCACTTCCTCGATAGGATTTGCCAGGAACTGATTCTCCTCCTATACACGATTGTTAGTATAGCAAGCTATATAGGTTACGAAAGCAAGCGACGTACCTGGCGGAGATAGCCACGACACATAAACGAGCCAAACAGCGTGCGCGTTTGGTCAGTTGTCGTATTAGCAGAGCCTTGAAGTTATGGTTAGTAAACATTGATACGAAGAGAGGATGTATATTACCACCGTGGTAACAGCTGGCAAGCATCAGAAATACGTCTCCTGGTTCCATCTCTGCAAAAACGACCTTTTTCTCGTCACCAGGTCCATGTGTTGAGTCGTCCAAGTGCGAGCCGGGGATGAATCTGGTTGCTCCGTTCGCTGTAGTAATTTTGGAGGCAGCCATGAAAATCCCAAGAGCAGTATCCCGCCCGGGCGTGTATTGTTCGGCGGTGATTTTCGGAAGGTTGGTGTGATGCAATATGTCATCGCGATGAAGGCCTTGGGCGCGAGCTCCTGGGCCAATTGCAAAGACAGAAGTGGAATTCAGTTGTGGGAGGGATTCATAAGTTTCCTTCTTGTCACCAACCCAGCTGGTTGATGTTGTTGTAAGGAGTCGCTTACTGACTTCCACGTAAAGGGGATGAGCTAATACTTTCTCGGTGTATAAGGGTGCTTTCGCTGGCAGCCCATTGACTCCTATTTGTTTGTTAGCACTTCAAGTCAATTTCTCCAAGTTCATTAGCTCACGGCGCGTCTCCTTTGGAAAGAATTCCCCTTCCCATGGTACATCTGCATCAAGGTAAGGCTGGACTTGCTTGAGCATCGCGGCGACAGCCTCACGGTCTACTAGGTTGCGGATGAAACAGCCACCATTTTCGATGAGTGACTTGACGAGCTCATCGGCCGTTGCAGAGGTCGCATCGAAGCTGCCGATCATGACCTTGCCGGTTGGGACCGTGTCATCAACTGTTGCATGCATCTCGAATACTTCAGCGAAGGAGCTTTAGAATATTGTGTGTCTTAAAATTCGAATATATGGTACACGGAGACTGCAATATTATAAAGACTGTACCGTGAGGCGGTACTAGGACGGCTCTTAACTACGTCTTTTGTGAGACAAGTGTGGTTGTCTACAATTTATAATAAGTAATTTAGTTGCGATCAGTGGTGTATGTTAGGATCTTATTTCGTGGCCAATTACCCCGCACAAGGGAGCAGATAACAATTAAGACGAATGCATATTATAAAGGGTGAGCACCACCCCACGATCCCGATTCAGTAGTCGACAGCGACGGCGAAGCTTGTTGTCTAGTACGACTCTAGCGCGAATGCCGCACGAATGATAAACTAGATAGATTGGGTCAATTCTTGCCAACCTTTCCTTCTGCCTTTTGTATTTCGTGCATAGACTATCAGATTGTTAAGAGGATATACTTTTCTATATTATGTTGGAACCATAAAGGAAGGCCGCAGCGAGCTCATCTCCTAGCCTTGAAATTAGACATTGTTATCGTTTGTTTGTTTTATTCATAGTCCGATCCAGGCCAATGGCCTATTTAAAGCTAGCAGTGCCACCGCTTATCTCTGTCCCGAAAGGAAGCCAGATGAATCGTGCCGTGCCCTACTAAACAAAATATATACAACTCAATTGCGTACAAATTCTTCAGCCTCGCGCTGTCAACTTTTATCTTCCTGACTGCTTCTTCTATCCTATCCTGATTCTATTCCTTCTACCACTCTCGTTCGGTCCCAGCAATACGCCAAACATAAAAGAATTCTCATTCCCCAAACACCAAAAGTTTTCCTCCAAGATGGTTAAAAATTTGCAGGGTCTGTCGGCTATTATTACAGGGGGCTCTCGCGGTATAGGTGCAGGTATTGCGCTGGAACTCGCGAGCCGTGGGGCAAACGTCCTCATCACATACCAAAGTGCTTCGTCGCAAGCTGAGGAAGTCTCCGCCAAGATTAAAGCCCTCGGGTGCGAAGCTTTGATTGTGCAGGCCGCCGGCAATGACAAGGAGGCACCAGCTCGCATTGTGAAGGCTGCTGTAGAGAAATGGTCTCACATCGACATCATCATCAACAATGCCGGCGCGGGCGATGACTGTTTGCTTAAAGATATGACCTACGATCTATGGGACAAGGTGTTCAATACGAATGTACGGTTGGCGACGTTTCTTGTGATGGAGAGTATGCCGTACCTTGGAAAGGCGCCACGTATTGTGAACATATCTTCCGTTATGGCGCGTATGGGCGGCGCGTACGCGACGGCGTACTGCGCGTCGAAAGCGGCCTTAGAGGGCGTCACTAAGGTGTGGGCCACAGAACTCGGGCAGAGTCATAACGCCACGGTGAACTGTGTGAATCCCGGACCGGTCGGCACGGATATGTGGTTACGGGATACTGGGGCCGATGTGCTGGCAGAATGGGATATAAAAATGAAGGAAACGCCAGCGGCGCCTAGGATTGGGACTGTAGACGACATTGCCCAGATTGTGGCATTCCTAGCGAGTGAGGAAAGTCGATGGAGCACAGGGAGCACAGTCAATGCTAATGGGGGCTTATGCTTTGTGTGAGATGAGCTGGTCACGAGTGTATGTAGATATGCCAGAAACCAGCTAATCGCATTATTTACTGAGTGTCACTTAATAAGTAGCTTTTAAATACGGCGTCAAGAGTGTCTATCCTTCTGGTTATTCCAACTATATTGTAGCAACTCAAGAAACATAAAGAGATTGGTTTGGTCCTATTATATGCTTAAGTGACTGGCCAATGCAAAAGTCAAGGTCCTATCACAAGTCACTTTTATCAACTATATTGTCGTTAACAGCACTCGGTGCTGGGCGAGTTAAGCTCGAGTCCACTAAGTCCCTGATCCTTTCGAACCCAAGTCTCTTCTTCATATTCTGATTCGATTTGTGACTTGGCGAGTTATGTCCTGTGTACTTTCATTTCATAATAATCTATTGATACTGAATTTGATAACCAGCAACGAGTTCAAAAATGACCTTCTATAGTCATCAGAGCTGTAATTTTGCACTAAATAAGCTTAAACTCAGGCGGCCGAATGATTCCACATAAGACCCTTCCCTATCCTCTACAATCCAGCTGCTTATCATCTATACTATAGGCTTTATCCAGTCTAATGAGCCTTATGCCATACTTCTCCCGGGATTGCACCCGGATATTCCAAAATTTCGTTCAGCGCCTCCCTGATTATTTGAACCCCCTGCTCCAACTCCTCATCTGTCATTACCATGCTCACGCCCATCCTCAAACGGCCTTCTAACGGATACAGAAGCAGTCCTTTACTCAAGCACAAGCCTCCGATCCTCCTTGCCGTCACCTTCCGAGACGGATTCTCTCTAATAGGGATGCTGAAATCTGCCCCACGAACCTGGATATCTGCTACAAAAGGATGCTCCCACAAATCCTGTGTCAATTCCGAAAACTTGTCTCCGATATGCTTCGCTCGTTGCGCCATATTCTCCCCATCCAGGACCTCTAGTGCCGCTTCAGCAGCTGCCATTGCCATAGGTGTATGTGCGAACGTCGATCCGCTCTCATATGGCCCAACGACGGACATCATAGCCTCGTCACCTAGGACGAATGATGCGGGATAAACACCACCGGTCATGGATTTGCCAACAACGAGCAGATCAGGGCGGACATCGGGGCCCAGGTGATTGAAAGAGAAGAATTTTCCTGTTTTGCAAGAGCCCATGCGGACTTCATCGGCAATGAAAGGGATGTTGTATTTCTTACAAAGGTCATAGACACCCCGGGAAAATGAAACTTCTTCTTCGTATGTGCTAGAGATGAAATACGTTAGTAGCCTAAGTCAAAGAGAAGAAGTAAGGGTAAGGATATATAGGGTTACACACTTTCCGGTGTTGCGGATACATTCCAAGATCACTGCTCCCACACATGCATGGTGCTCTTGAAGACAAGCCTCCATGTCTTCTATGTGCCCATATCGCAGTAGCTGCTTAGTGGTGGGGTTTACATTGGTGTGTTGCGCGCTGTCAAGGCCATAAGCTATCGGAATTATGTCAGTGCTAAATCTAACTTGTCTCGCTCTTGATTGACGCACCTGTTCTTGCGGGGCTAGGGTCTTGCAAGTTCCAGACTCCTGAAGACAATCCGTGGTAGCTGTCCGAAACAGCCAGAATCAGTACCTTGTCCGAAGGGATACCCTTCACATCATGCGCGTAGCGCCTGGCAATCTTGCAGGCTAGATCAGCTCCCTCGGCGCCAGTGACCATAGCAGAAATATTGTCATATTTGAATCTTTTGCACATCATCTCGGCAAAGACCGGCCAGCGCGAGTTGTGCGTTGAGGTGTTGATGAGATATGCTAAGTTTATAACTCAGCCATTGTCTAGGAAGATGTTACATTGGGCGCAACGTACCCTTATTGATCTGCTTTACCATGGCCTCAATAATCGTCGGATGACAGTGTCCTTGGTTGCAAGCGCTGAACATGCAAATGAAATCGAGATATTCTTTGCCATCCACGTCCTACACATCACTTTAGTCCTCTTTCCCAATAGCGGGGAGCTCTGAAGAGATCATTCACGGACCCATAACTTTGCACCTTTGCCTCTATCCATGAAGGCGGGTAGAGGTGTGAAACCTCCCACGGTGTACTGCGCCTCGATATCAAGCAGGTGCTGGGACGCTTTCGTCAGTACAACTTGTTTACGTTGGACTTCAGCAGGGGCGATGTGAGTGCTGTCCACTGGCACAATGCTTGCACCCGCATGATTGATGGCGTCAATGGTAATTGGCGTCATTTTGGAGACTGTCGCTGAGTTGTTGTAAATCAAAGGGTTCCGTAGAAGGTCTTCTCAGGAAATGCAAAGTTGGAAAGGTCGAAGTGATTGAAATTTATTAACAGCTAACGATCGTTCAATATTTGAGACTCGTGTGACTTTGGCTGTTCAAAAGTATTTATTTTCTGAAACTTGGAGAAGTAATGCGCTACATGGGACAGTATAGGTAACTAACAGCGATCAGCATGGGTATCAGATGTAGCCGCGATCATTTATAGGTATTGGCGCGAATCATGTAATCTTAGTCTGATGACTTGGGCGGATGTGGAATTTAATAATATTTACGTAAATATCAATCCCCTAATGTGAACCAGACTTCCGACTTCAAGGCGCTGTCGATTGCCACAATCGGTCGTCGGTGGTGGCATCTACAAAGCAATGCATCGCTTCCGCCATCCGCATTTAGTACGCGACTGATAACGCCGATGGGCCTATCACCATCTTGCCGGAAGATCTACCCTATCTCATCTTGACCTTGTTATGTAATCCTTCATCTCCATACTTTCAACCAGTGGCTTTTACAAATGTACTACGCAAGTTAAATGTCATATCCATACTCGTTTCTAGCATGTTGCTTACTCCATTGCAACAAGTTTGCGCTATAGAAAACCACTTCTGAGATCGTGCTATTACTTTATATGTGTGCTTATAGCTACGTTGCTGACCCAACTCTAGAATCCATCTTTATACGGCGCTCTCTGCTACCTCTATACTTTGTAGATCTCTACAACTCATCCGCCCCTGATGTCTTCTCCACGCCGTGACATCAGTTTCAAGACGACCGATGGCTTGGAGTTGAGAGGCTGGTTTTATCCAGCAGGAAACAAAGCCCCCACTGTGATACTATCTCATGGCGTGCGTACATCTCTTCACCTTTCCTATTGTTATGCTCGTCTATTCACTATATATCTCTTACTTTCCGGTTCCAAGTCATAACCGTCGTTGTGGTCTACTAATACTTGCTCTATCCCATAGCTCACCGGGATCAAAGAACTCTTCCTAGACGCATTCGCGGCTCGGTTTCAGGCTGCCGGCTTTGCCTCCATTGTCTATGATTGCCGCAATTTTGGCGCCAGCGACGGGTTGCCCAGATACGAAGTCAATGCGTTTCACCAGATCGAAGACTATCATGACGCTATCACTTTCGCTACGACTCTAACTGAGGTCGATCCTGAGCTAATTGCAATCTGGGGCTCCAGTTATAGTGGTGGGAATGTCATTCAAGCGGCTGCCGTTGACAGACGTGCCAAAGCTGTCATCGCACAGGTCCCTTTTGTGTCGGGCAATAGCAACGCACCTATACTGATGCCAATCATGCCAGCTATACTTGCTGACCGTGCTGGAATTGCAGCTGGCAAGGCTGGAGAGATAGTTTCGGTCGTGGCAAGCAGTCTAGACGAGGCAGAGTCTCGGGCCTCGACGAGCATCCTTCCAGAGGCAGATGCGTACAAATTCTTTGTGCACTCTGCCCTTCCCAATGGCGTCAAATGGGAGAATAAAATCACACTGCAGAGCCTATTCAAGCTGTTGAAGAATGAGCCTCGAGCATACATCCATCGGATCTCTCCCACGCCGTTCTTGATGGTTGTTGCAGAGGAGGATACCGCAGTGCATGTGCCGACTCAGCTTGCCGTGTTTGGTGAAGCTGGGGAGCCGAAAGAACTATTTTTCATGGCTAAAACGGGGCACTTTGACCCATACAGCGGGCCTGCGTTCGAGGTTAATGTTGAAAGACAGATTAGATTTTTGAAGATGTATTTAACGTGACTAAGCATGTTATCATAATTGGACTCTGTAAATTAGAAGAGCTGTACGCTCAGCTAGTGTAGCTAAAAGTTTAAATACTATAGAGAGTCTCTAATTTTGCTGAAGCATAGCTAGTATAGACACTATAGCTGCTATAGAGCATATATAGTAAGACTAAAAGAGTTAAGCTTCTTCTATAATTAATTTAACTATATTATGTCCTATCTTATCTTATTATTATATAGCTTACTTTACATGTACTATAACCGTTTTAATGATTACAGGAGCAGTCCTCCTGATGTTCTCGGTGAGTTACTCTTCTGAAAAGGGAGGAGTAATAATAGAGGGTAGATGAGAGTGTTCGACGTTGATAAGACGGATGTAGCAGTCGACAGCGAGCACCGCGATAACGCTACTGTGGCGTGCAAGGTTTTAGGCATGTCCAATCACCAAGCGTGATGCTTCGATTATGATCCATACCCTGCAATCAAGAGGCGACGAATACGACAGGGCAAAGCTTAGTTCAATGCCGGCTGATGAAATTCTCGTGGAGAATTTAGGAAACTAACAGCGCAATACTGGCATTTGTTTCAGATGGCTAGATTCTTAGCAATAGTGTGCATATTTTGAAAATTTTCCGACAGGACTAATATATTCGTGTCTCTTGTCTCTTGACTGCACACCATGTGAACTTTGCAAATTCATACATGCGATTCTTCCTCGCCTAGCAAACATGTCGCACATCCTAAAGTAAGAAATGACACCAATCTCGAATCCAGTTCAAAGCGTTCCCAATCCTAATGCTAACCCATCACCATCTTCAGTCTGGAAGGCCGAGTTGCTATTGTAACAGGCTCCTCTTCAGGAGTTGGTCGCGCTATCGCAATTGCGCTGGCAAGCGAAGGCGCCTCGGTGATATGCAGCGATTTGACGCCTGAGTTGCGTCTTGGCGGATACGAGGTCGTGACAGCGCCTACGCACGAGGTAATCGCAAAGACGGGCACAGCAATCTTCAGAAAAACAGATGTCGGCTCGCCGGAAGACATGGAATCCCTGGTTGCATCTGCCATTGCAGAATTCGGCAGACTGGATATGTATGTGAGATCAGACTGTGCAGAAACGCATTTTGGTTTGACAAAGTTGATGGAAACGGTGGCTAATTTTATGGAAGCTTGGTCAACAACGCAGGAATCTTCTGCGGGCAGAACAGGATTGCAGAAGAGTCGGTAGAAGCATTTGACAAGACTATGGTAGGGCATTCCAATTGAGATCATCATGATTATAAAAAGTCTAAATCCACCTTAGGCCATCAACACGCGAGGCACCTTTCTCGGCATGAAATATGCCATTGCACAGATGATGAAGCAAGAACCACGGTCCTCCGGAGACCGTGGCTGGATTGTCAATATATCCTCGATTGGTGGCGTAGTAGGTTTATCTATGGAACGTATGCTGGCCGTTTTTCTCTCTACCATTTCCCCTGTCCGTTTCATGATAACAGTAACTGATGCTCAGAAGCGTCTTATTGTGCGAGCAAAGGTGCCGTGACAAACTTGACCCGGCAGGTAGCGCTTGACTACGCTCCCGATAAGATCCATATCAATGGTGTGTGTCCCGGCTTTTTGAAGACCGCAATGGTTCGTTCTGCGCTGGAAGACCCAGCCCTCCACGAGGAGCTGCATAATGCATCACCATGGCCACATTTGGGCCTGCCAGAGGATGTAGCGAAGGCGGTACTATTTCTCTGCGGCGACGGTGCGAGCTGGATGACAGGAGTAATGGTGAATGTGGACGGAGGGTACTGTGCAAGATAGTGGCGATCCAGGTTATTAAGGGTCCAAATAGATGTTTATACCTAAATTCAATATTACTTAACAGTGTATACTTTGCTAAGAGTTTAGTAATAAAGGTATAGAGGATTATATGTTTACAATGAATACTTACGCTAACTAAGCTCCGGCCGACTAAGTCTATAGCTTTACAATTATAGCACTTTATAGGATGAGTAGTTTTATTTCTTTATTAACCTACTTCTAAATTATAATAGTCTATCTCCTGACAGGGTGGTGTTAGGATCAGGGCTGTATCCCGACCTTTCTAGTCATGTGATCTAGTGTAGCTTAGTCAGCAAAGAGGCATAACCTCTTCGCGTCAACACCACCATGAATGCTAAGCAACATCAACCAGAATCAAGTCTATACTACGAGTAGGGAAGTGATCACGATATCAACACCTGTGATACCAACAGGTAGAGAGATTGTAATACAAGGGTTAGATAATAGGAAGTTATAACTTATAGTATTTAATAAGCTAACCTCCAGAGATTTAAGAAGCCCAGAGTGAAAACCTTTAAATATATAACATTAAGATTGAAACGAGGCTAAACCGGAGCGTCCACATGTATCGCGTGATCGTATCCTGACACATTTGTATCGCGGAGTTGGTGAGAGGTCCGGAGTTACGACATGGGATGGTAGATGCTTGCACTTCGGAATTCCGCGGGGTTCCTTTCAGGGAAGGGGGGGGGGGCATTGACTATCTAGCTCAAGACTATATATAAGAAGTAATTACTTGGTCTTACTATTCTGATATCCCCCACCGCCACACCATTCATTCTAGGATCCCTCTTCCAGCCTGAACAAAGCCATGACCGACAAGAAGATGTCATCCTCGAAGCGGACCGTTCTCATCACTGGGTGCTCAGACGGCGGTTTAGGCGCCGCTCTTGCACTCACCTTCCACGAAGCTGGCCTGCACGTTTATGCTACAGCTCGAAACCCTTCCAAAATGTCTAAACTCGCAGCTCTAGGCATCGAAACGCTAACGCTCGACATATTGTCTGAATCTTCAATCGCCGCCTGCAGAAGCAAACTTTCTAGCCTTGACATTCTGGTGAATAACGCTGGCAACCGTAACTAACCCCTTTCTCTTTCCTCCTCATTCTGGCTATATTTAGGACACCCACTAGTGTTTCATCATCTCTTCTCTAGCTCTTTACCAATACTTCAATACTAACTGTTGTAGAAATGACCATACCTGTATCCGATATCTCTATTCCCGAGGCCAAGAACTTGTTTGACATCAACGTATGGGGTCACATTGCCATGACGCAGGCGTTTCTGTCGTTACTGGTGAAGTCCAAGGGCATGATTGTCAACCAAACATCTTGTGCGTCGATTGCTGCTATACCATTTGCATCAATATATTCGGCATCGAAAGCTGCAATGGCAATGTTTTCGAATACTATGCGGCTTGAGCTGCAAGCCTTCGACATTACCGTCGTTGAATTAAAGACCGGAGTTGTACAATCTAACTTGATACATAATCAAAAGGAGAACAAGGAATTGTCTTTGCCGGAAGACTCAATCTACGCGCCTGCGAGAGAGCTGGTGGTGAAAGCGATGCGACAAGATGACTTTGAGGGTGTTGGTACGAGATCGCAGCAGTGGGCAGAACTCGTTGTACAGGACTTGTTAAAGAACAGCCCGCCGCCGGTTATTTGGAGGGGAGAACAGGCGATGTTAGTTAGAATTGGGACATTGTTACCATTCGGAATGCTTGACGGAACAATCAAGAAGATGACAGGCCTGGACAAAATTGAGGAGAAGGTGAAGAATTAGAATAGGGTGTGGTTGTTTTGTGCTAGGAAGATTATCCTCATAATGTATTTGTAAATGAGACCTAAGATAGTCGCTCCATGTTAATAGGTTACTTACCCTTAAGTTGGTAGGTGTTCTATGGTAGCCCAGAGACTTGCATTTGCATGCTCTTCAGAAGCTCAACTATTTTGCCACTCTGTAACACGTTATGCTAACTCGGCCTACGCACGAGAAACTAAAAGTATTGCAAGAAGCTAAGATGTGCTAAGCCTATTGTAGATATAAAACACGCAAGTTTACAAAAATCCGAAGGGGTATATTTCGCTTAAATATTACCCAAATACATTAGGTATTTTAACATCAAACTGTCTTGCCATTATAAAATTTTCAGTCTCTCTCTAAAGGCATGACAACATTTTCTTCGACAGTGTCTCGCAAATTTGCTTCCTGGAGGGATGTACAAGACGTCGTTGGAAACCTCCAAGTCAGCCGTACCTTGGTGGCGTCTGCTGTGACCATGTAAATCATCTGCTGATCTGTGATCTAACCGAGCTGCGGACTTCAACTTGAAGTCCCCACATTGGAACTTGTAAACCCGGAGCCTTGCTTTTTTGATCCAAGAATGGAAACAGAGCCGCTCAAGGTATCACTTTATATATCGAGATGTATTTTGGTCAAGCAATTCTTTGGCCTTCGAGAAGAAGATTACGAACTGCCATCTGATGGGCGAGATCCAGAGCCAAGTAAAATAAGGGAGCAAGACGTGTCGCTCTCACTAGGGGCCTCGGACATACCACTAGTCAAGTACCCATGCAGGGCAAAAGCAATCTACTCATATGAAGGCAACCCAGATGATCCTCATGAGATCAGCTTCAACAAGAACGAAATCATCGACGTTTCCGACGTGTCAGGGAGATGGTGGATAGGGATGAACAAAAACGGGGATACTGGCATTATACCCTCGAACTACTGTATCCTGCTCCAAGTGTTGTGTTTTTTTGGGGGATATAATGAATTGAAATGCCGCGTTATGAACGAAATATTCGCACCGGAAGAGATCCTTCAAAGTTCGTTCACCTCAGAATGTGATTTCTAGAAATTTTCAACCCTGGCATCATGGCAAGGTGGTAGACATGCAAGCTGGAAAGCACAATATCTGAATACATATTGCCGAGATTTCTTCTCTGCTAGAGATCATAACATCCAAATGCCTCAAAATCAAATTTGTCCGTCTGGGCTTTGACCCATGTTAACTGATTCGACTGGAGCAGTAGGGTTTTGAACATGACTCTAAAAACAGTTATGAAAAGAAGCGAATTGGATTATTGTCTAAGATACAGAAAGAGCCACTAGGCTGAAGACTTTTGATACGGAGCCTGTGTCTCATGCAACGGATTTGGAATGTAAGCGTGTATACACAGCGCGGACAGCATTGCCAGTCTTTTACTTGGAGACCGCAGGCTATAGCACACCTCGAAGTAGCATTTTCTTCCTGTTGTCACCCATATAAACATTGGTCATGTCTCGATAGCTAGCTAGTATTCCTACCGCGACCTCCAACAAGCACCTGCAACGGGCATATCGTTCTTCTCATCATCGACGTCATCATTCATACTCTGAATCCATTCTCCTTCCCTAATCATACTATCCCGTTCAATCTGCGCCATGACACTCAACTCCATCAACATCCCCTTCACAAGACGCCGACATCCATCCACTACAACAGCCAGACTGGATCCCTTATCAGGGGTCTCCAAGCCCCTCAATTGCTCTCTCCACACTTCCAACTTCTTGCCCAAGATAAGACAATCGTCCTTCCACGCCCCCTCAATTTCTTCCACAAAGATAATATCCGCATCTGCGTCGTTTTCGCGCGCAGCAATCGTACCTTGAGAGCGACTAAGCCATCTCTCAAACCTCCTCACAACACGCGAGTATTTCCCCCCACTGTCCCCAAGATTCCATACCCCAGAAATAACCTCATCAAGCACCTGCACCCTCTCATCCAGCCCCCACCCAGGCGTACCAGCTTCTTTCCACTTCCTCAACGCCGCAGCGTTCACCTTGCCTATTGCATCAACCTCCTCTTGCACTAGCACATCATTCCTATCCACCACCTCCTGGAACCGTTCCCCTAACTTCTTCTTCGCGCTGGCCCGCCATTGGCTGTCCACGAGTCCGACATCTTTATGCAAAAGATGCAATTGCAGCAGCTCGTTTTGCAGCTTTGCAGTCTCGGCCGAGATGGCGATGTTGGAGGGCAGTTTGCTCGGTGAGGGCGGGGCTAGGAAGGCTGCTGGATGGGGTTTTGGGGCTAGGTTTTTGGCGGGCGAGAAGTGCTGTTGGAGGGTTGAGAAGTTCGGTTTGCGAAGCTGGGGGGGCTCGAGTCGGGGAGCGGGCTCTAGAGCGGTAGAGGTGTTTAACGTAGAGCTTAACGTAGAGGAGGACTTGTTTCTCGTGTGGCCTTTTGGTCGAGTCGTGTTTGAGGGGAGGGTATTGCTTGTAGATGAATTTCGTACATGTCGGAATTGTGTGACTGGTGGTCGTGAGCGGTCTTGCTTCACGGGCTCTGTGGTATGTGAGGCGGGGTTGCCATTGCGACCGCTTGTTGAAGGCCGTCGTTGCAATTCGGTGGTGACTGGTTTGCTGACACCGGCTCGAGTTGAAGGGGGTCTAATTGAGGGTTTACTAGGTATGCTGGCACTTGAATTGGGAGGTCGTGTGACTGTGGATGTGCTCCGTGTTGGGCGGTTGACCGTGGGGAGACGACTTGGGGACTGGCTGCTCCGCGTAGTAGGTGCGGGCTTGAGGATTATATTGTTCTCTTTGGGGTCGGCAGTAGTTGATCTACCAGGTCTGCTCCCATTTTCTGCTGGCTTGCGGAGTGAACGCGTTCGTGAAGGTAATGTTGACATCGCTGCGTTGTTGTTTATTGACTCGGAGTTGGCGCGAAAGCTTAGTCTTAGAAGCGACCAAAGAACGTGAACCTTAGGTCCGATGTTCTATAAATCTCTCAGAAATGTGGAATAGTCAGGTAGATACAGATACGTATTTACATTGATGCTAAAGAGCTAAATAGCATAATTACGCTTCTATTTAAATTTCTGCTTCCTGATCGATTAATTGTGAGTAACTGGTTGGAGGTATGTATCGGAGTTTCTTCGGCCTATACTCCATCCTCCTTGATTATCATCTGAAGGTGCAGAAGTCTCAACTTTCAAGTACCCCGTCCGAGCTGCCTACTGGTAATCATACAACTCATCTGCATGCCCTATGCATGCAGAATAATTGGTATAAAGGATAGGACTCGGTATATGACTATCGGTACGTAAAATTATCAAAACAGGATAATGAGCGGCATCCCAAAGTCCGCGATTGCCTCCGAAGCATTTCCACCAAGGAATTTAGCTATGAAGCCTCCATCTGATAACTTCCAAAGTATAGGTACGCTTCTTGCGCATGTTCTGAAATCTGTTCCCTTCCTACGCCATTACACATATTCCCTACGCGTACAAAACGGGATCTGCCTGGTGGGGCACCACACGATTAACCAAGGCAAGGCAGCAGATTCCATCCCTCTCGCTTAAAAAAGGGGGCATTGCATCTCGGAAATCCGTTTTCCCCCGCGCAGTTACTCTCTCATTAGTAAATCAGACTGGGATGTGTCTTTACCAATTCTGGGGTTAAGCGGCCATGGTGAAAATTACATTACCCGGGTACATGATTCGACAAGCACGGCGTAATCTGGTTTTGGAATCCTATTAGCTGTCTTGAGACTGTCGCCATGAATACAGTGCGGGTGCACAAGCTTAGGCTAGGATTCTTGTTGTATTGTTGTATAACGTTCTGGAGATTGAGGGCCATGCTAGCCCCTATCAAGCCATGGCCATACTGTTTGAAAATCAGTATGCGCTTCAGGAAAGAACGACAGGAAGCTTACAGACCTCACTTTAGACATAGTAGTTTACTGGGGGTGGTGGTGATGGTATACGACGAGGGCTCTCAGCTATTTGACTCGTGGCTGAAACATCCCATTTTCGTGTTGATTGCTTCAATATATCTGCGGCCAACCCCCACCTCACCTCCAACTCCACGTGCCCACTTTTCGGAGCCGTGCTAGAAATGCGGCGTTACAAGCCCATCGCAATGTGGAGGTCTTATCCTGAAGCTCCTCCACCGCTCGAGAATTACATCTCCTCCACGGCACAAATTTCATCCAAGACTTTACCCATAGATGGCCCTATATCCCACACATCCCTGCGATCACATAGCTTTCTCATCCAATATATGAACTGCGTCTCAAGTTGATCAACGTTATCAAGATCTTCCGGTGTCGATAGGGATTCATGAGATATATGTATCTCGAGAGGATCGTAAATGTCCAGTGCGGTGATAATACAATGCACCACGCTCCTTGCAGGGTCGTACACTTTGGTGTATTTGTTGACGCCAGGTGGCGGACACACCTGGCTTTGTAGTTCAGCAATGCTGAATCGCAACGCCTGCCACAAAATAATGAGGATTTTGAATCCTTGCACGGTTGTCCATGGTCCCTCCCAAGGCGGTGAAACTGTGCTTGTTCCCATTTCGTGCATCGCCGTGAGCATTTCGTCCAAAATGGCAATAAAGCCATTTTCTGCGATCGGTTTCCGTCTATTACTTGAGCCTTCATCACGTTCGATAATTAGCAAATTTTTGTTGGGCATATTTAGTATGAAGCAGTCTGATAGGAGTTGTTTGATGCTTGTGGATGTGCTCGCTCGAGAGAGGTTGAAGGCTGCAAGCCCACCAACATCCAGATTGTCGAAATAGGCGCGGGGAGGTTTGCTTACCTGAACGTCGCGACGATACGTAGTCACCCAAGTTTAAATGCACGCTCGTAGCTAAACCAGCAGCTGGGCTGGCCTCTATAATTCCGCCAACGAGGAGATCGTCCGGCTTACAGAGACTGATCTTAATAGATAGACATCCGAGCTGTGTAATTCACCAAGTTAGCGAATCCCAATCAAAGAGAATGAAAGCAGAGCCAGAGATTCATGCCCCTTCGAACAAAATAATGATCTACGGGGCTCTAGATCTCCAATGCATAACCTGTTGGAAGGAATGAAGAACTTACTATCACAGCATGCCAAAGAGAAACGCACGTAGAGTCGCAGGATGAGCAAGATCTATCAGTAGCAATTGATAATATTGAAACAATTGCCGTCGAAACCTTCGCATTTTGAGATTGGCTCAAAATATGGAAGGGGGATGGGTCTGCAAGAGTCGGCGGCAGCTGATAGTAGCTTCGAGTGAAGTCTCTGACGAGGCTCTCTAGACTTGCGACTATGCATAATGTTGCAAAAGCCGACGAAGAAATATTTTTGCGTAGTACCGGGGATGTCGTGTCTATTTTAAACAATCAAATAAGCCACCGATTTCCGCTAAATTTATCTGAAGGAGGCATACGTACTAGACAGTAAAGACTGGGAAGCAACCATCAGGGACTTTATTTGAGCCTGATCTCCCAACATAGCACCATCGCTTGATTCAAGCTGCCTCTGGAGTATTACATGCCACCACTTCGTGGCAGATTCTGCTTCCCATAAAGCTGAATCCATGGGGAGATCCCACTCAAATTCAATAGAGGAAAGCATTGGGCGCATGTTGAAGGATGCAAAGAGATGGAAGTCGAAATAATACAGGGCATAGAGCGCTAGCTTGGTAGATTCTTGGTCGATAAAGAGCTGCCATGTTCTTTGCGTTTCCTCAGGCGAAGCTGATAGACTGAGGCTACAATCCCACGCAGAGACCGCAGGAAAAACCGACTTCTGATGTAATAGTTCGAAATCGCGAAGCGCCTGCATCCATATTAGTGGAGGATTGATACAGCCGAGACTAATCTCACATCTACGACTATTCTGTACATATCCCTGGACTTTGAGATGCACTCCTCGTCGCCTGTAAAAGTTCCATATACAATCAACAGCACGTAACTTTGGAGTACCCACGGTGTTCTGTTTTTACATCATCGTCAGTACAGTCCGTACACGTTTGTCATCCAAGAAAAGCAGGATAGTAGACTGCTGTCGATATATGGCTCTGCGCAGAGAAATTTTGAAAGATTATGCAAAGACCACAACTCATTGGGTCTTGATTGGGAAGTTTCCAAAGCGACATGACTCACCTCCATCTAGGGCGATGCTTTTCGACCTGGGAGAATCAATTAATGTTTCCTGTTCTAGGATGAATATACGTACGAAGAGCTCCACCTCGTGACATCCACATCTCCATAGTTCCCGACTGAGCTTCCGCTTTGCATTGGCATCCAAGACATCCGGTCGATCAGATCTGCTTGCTGAATACATGCACCCAATGGCCAAAACAGCCATCAACAAGACGGAAGGTGATGAGAGAGTACTGAGCGTTGGCGGGTGGAGAATCGGCAACGATGGGTGAAAGAAAGCTATATACGATTGTATATAAGCAGACTTCGTATCCTCCGATAAACTATATCAAAAATGTTAGGTGGCCATGGAGTGTGTGCACGAAGTAGTGTATCTCTCTGCGCGACAGTCTTTGCGCGATGAAGGCATACTAACAGTTCTAAATTCAGAGATTGCTCTGCCCAAGTGATGTCATCCACATCCATTTGAAGACGCAGATCAAATCCAGCACTGCCTTGTCCCGGTTCGCAATGGGCAAATGCGTTCAGACCGAGATTCGGATCAGGGACTATGGGACCTGTCGGAGCTGGTTCAGATTCCGCTGGCTGCAGCTCGACTGCCTTTGGTGATGGAGTCCCGCGTTTGGGGCATTTCAAAGTATGTCTTTTGCAAACATCTCTATCACTTTCTTTAGCACTCTTCGTCACCATTCACACGCACGGGTGTATGATATTTTTTTGTACCTTCTGCTAAATTGCACGTGGCATGTTTGGCACTCAAAGCGAGGCCCTAGGGCACCATCGTGGTCTTCGAGATAGTCAGTTCAGTATCTAGTGGGAGCAGCATACTGAAGTATCACATACGCGTCCGTCTATGCCGCACCAGGTTCTCCTATCCGTGAGTTAGATCAGAGTCATAAAGTCATGTGCGGATGCGGAGTGGGAGTAGATACACTTCGTGTGAATGCACGGGAACAGTCTGGACAAGAGAATGGACGCGCAGGGTTAGGAGGCATCGCGCTCTTTGTATGCAGCTCTTAGTATGAGGGATTCTACCACCCAGATACCGTTATGGAAGGTGCGGTAGATGGGGGTAGCGCACGTGATTACTGAGATTGCGCTAAATCACTGACTAAGCCGACGCGAAATAAAGCCTACGTTGCCTGGCAATCCGAAGTCCTCCCTGTAAGCTTCTTTTTCCATGTCTTCTCTCTTATGTTCTTCATTTCCTCTATATTGCCTCTTTTATACCGAACTACGCGGAATGGCAAGCTTATACGCATAGGGAGCACATATATCTCAGAGGCCAGAATTTCTTTTGTCGCCCCAATTTTCGGCTAATCAGGACAGTCCTCGCTCTTGATGCTTGACCATTGGAAACGGCATAAACATTCTTATCCCTCTATCCTATCACCATTCTATTGTTCTCGCAAGTCTTTTAGAATCGCTTGTTTATACACTATCATATCTACGTCCATGCGTAAATGCGGAAGCTGGTGTCTGGACGCCCGTACGGTTGAAAGAAACCCAAGTCGCATATGGCTCACCGAACCAATTGAAAGATAACTACGGGACAAAACATACGGCTTAGGCATAGATAAGTATTTCAAGATATATTTATGTCTACGATGTTTAAATGTCTACATACAAGCTAGATGTCTAGCAAACGTGCAATATCTTCCTTCTTGAAAACCACTTGCTCATCTTTTCCTTCTAACAGTCCTAGATACCAACTCAGATCCCGGCCATCAAACTCCCGTGCCGAGAAGCCATTTCCCAGATAGCGAAATCTATTCTTGTGCGCTGTCTGAAGGTGGTAGTCCTCCCACCGAGGTTTCAACATATTCTCGAAGAAGTGAATCCGCGATCCAGGCCACATCATGACTTCGCCATCCGTTGTTCCTTGTTTAAACCATGATCGACATGGCTGTGACCAAGCGGTTCTGGGAATAAAGGTGCGGCGATGTTCTTCGAAGTCTGCGACCGCCTCTTGTGTTGGCTCAAACGATGTTACATGCTCGTATGCCATCTTCTCAATAATTTGGATGAAATGTTTAGAGAGGACTTCGGTGATTGGCAGAAAGCTACCGTGCCCATAGGGGCCAAATGGGCCGTTGAAGACTAAATTCATATCAGTAATATACCTTTGGTAACAAAAAGATTCGACTCACTGAGGTAGTTCGGGAAGTTCGGAACAGTGATCGAAAGGTATGTGCTGGGAATATCTTTCCACTCCTCACTCAAGCTCTTGCCACCGCGACCAATGGTGGGATAAGCCGGTTTCCAGCTTACGTCGAAGCCAGTAGCGCACACAATTATATCGACCTTGTGCTCCTTGCCATCAACAGTTTTAATCCCCTCTGGCGTGATCTCAGCGATGCCGTCCAGCACTACATCGACGTCGTCTTGGCATAATGCCTCGAGATATCCATTTCCAGGTGTTGGACGTCTGCAACCCACTGCAAAGTCCTTAGGTATAATTGCTTCAGCAAGCTCTGGCTTGGCCGCCAGTTTTCTTTTCATTTCAGATTCCGCGAACTACATAGTAGTCAGCAATCTTTGCACGTAGGATGAGATATTCAAAAGGACATTCTACTTACTGCGCGTGCAGTAGCCTGCTCTTGGGAGCCGTTCAGAATGAACCGGAAACGCGAACTAATCTCCGATTCGATATTCTTTCGATATCTCAAAGACGTTTCCGGTTCCTCTGCCAGAATATTCTTCTGGGCCTCTGTGTCTGTGAACAAGTCAGCAACACACTTGATTCTTAATGCCCTTTGCAAACTCACACTTGAAATTACCACCATCTTTGCCTGCAAAGTTCGAACCAAAACCGGCTGTGACCCAAGACGAACTTCGGATAAAGCATTTCAGTTTGCCCACCACTGTTGAGAAGTCAGCAATGTCAATATGGCTTTGGTATCAGTGAAGCGAACCTGGAAGTATATTGGGGACAATCTGCACTGCTGAGGAGCCGGAGCCAATCACTGCAACAGTCTTGCCCACCAGCGAGACTGAGTCGTCCCAATTTGCACTGTGGAGCATTGGGCCCTGGAAAGTCTCACGACCCTTGATGTTTGGCCACTTCCATTTACTAGGGAGACATCAGTACTGAAGCTTGCCAATGACGAGAGGATCATACTTTAAGACTCCGCTGGCGTTCACGAGAACGTTACACCTGTCTTCGATTACATCGTCGGGGTTGTCGCCACGCTGGACCTTCACCCGCCACTCCTTCGTGTCTTCTTCCCACCATGCTCCAACGATTTTATGGCTGAGGCGCACATACTTCAGCAAATCGTTTTCAACCGCCAGTTTCTTGAAATATGCAAGGATCTCGGGTGCGGTAGAATAGCTATGGAAATGCCTCACATATTAGTGACTGTTCTGAACTTCTTGGGGCCCTAAGTGGGATGAGGACGTCGAGCGTGTAATTTTGTACTCACTATGCACCCCATTCAGCTGATGGTGCCCAGGACAACTGGTAGACCACAGATGGAATATCGCAGGCACACCCAGGATACCTGTTTTCATACCAGGTTCCTCCAATCTCGGGATTCTTCTCATATATCGTCAGGTCGATGTCCAATCGATTGGTGTCAATGTCATGAGCAAAGTTCAGTGCACTGGCGCCGGCCCCAATAGTGATCACTTTGATTTTCTTTCCAACCCGGTTGGGCTCTTCAAGAACCGTGTACTCCTCCTGTTGCTCCTTCGAGATCGATTCTGGAGGAGATACCGGTAGATGGTTCGGCGAGAGGTGCTGGTTATCCAGAACCTTTTCAACAAAATGCTCCGGCTCCAGAATCATTGGCTCGGCGACTCTACTATCGTCAAGTGCAGTCATGATGAATGTGGGTTTAGAAAGGAATACGATGATCAAAAAAGTTGTGGCAGTATTTTCGAGATTCTATCGCAGGATAACACCTCGTTCTTAGCCTCTGCTGGCTGCAGCCTTGTCAAGGGTCCAGGGATGGGATGGAGGCCGTTTGAGCCCCGCCCTAACACTTGGTGGAGCGCCTAGTGGAGGGTCCGGGGCGGGATTCGAGTGCCTATTTAGATAATTGGGATCTGTCATCGGCTTACCCCGCCAAGTGGTGCTCCACATATGAAGTACAAGTCTCGGGCCGAAGTCTCGGCCTCTAGCTCAGGTCCCGAATACTATCGAGTCGAGTCGACATGGACCGCAAGCTGCAAAAAAGTTCCTTCAATTGATGAGCTGTATCCAGTCTTGATTTTATATCGGGACAAGGTTTGCTGATTTAATCTGCTCTTCACTTCAATCCAACGTCTTCCACGATGAACTCAAATCCAAATGTGCCTCCGCCTTTTGGTGTTTACACACCACTTGTTACATTTTTCCACGAGGATGAAAGCCTCGACCTAGAATCAATTAGCAAGCATGTGCTTAGAATGGCCGAAGGAAAGGTGGCAGGCTTGGTCATCCAGGGAAGCAATGGCGAAGCACCTCATCTCCTACACGACGAGAGAAAATTGTTGGTAGCGACCGTGAAAAGGACTCTGACGGAGAATGGATTCCCTGGCATCAAGTTGATTGTAGGGTGTGGGGCTGCGAGTGTGAGGGAGACATTGTTGTATCTTTCCGAAGCCAGGGAAGCTGGGGCTGACTATGGACTTATCCTACCTCCCGCCTACTGGACAGCCGGAATGTCAGCCCCGGTAATAGAGAAATTTTATCGAGATGTATGCTTTCAAGTCTGTGCATAATTCATCAAAAAGTCTGACTTTATGTGTAGGTTGCAAGCTCGGCAGTCATGCCATTCTTGATATATAACTTTCCAGGTGTCACTGGGGGCATTGATATTAGCTCTGACAGTATCATCAGTCTCGCCAAAGAAAACCCCGCTATTGTCGGCGTCAAGTAAGTAAATCTAAAATTCGAGAATTATCTTGCATCTTGCATCAGCCTCCATCTTAATATTGATGCCTTTACTGACTCAAGACTTCGTAGGTTGACATGTGGAAACGTCGGAAAGCTCCAAAGAGTCGCATCCGCACTTCCAGGCGGACAGTTTGCTGCCCTAGCTGGAAAATCAGACTTCTGCCTTCCCGTAAGCACCCTTTTAATTCTGGGAATTTTGTCGAGATACCTAGTGCAATCAAATCTATAATTTACTAACTCAAGAGTTTGACAGGCACTTGTCGCAGGATCGCACGGGGTTATTGCTGCCTTAGCAAATCTGGTACCAAAACTTCATTCGGAACTTCTTCGATTATACGAGGCTGGAGATCTCAAGGCTGCCATAGAATTACAATCAAAGCTGAGTAATGCAGACTGGGCACTGTTGAAATCCGGGGTAGCAGGGGTGAAGAAGACAGTTGCTGAGAATTTTGGGTACGGCTGTGGGAAAAGCAGGAGACCACTTGGGAACGGGCCGGCTGAGGTAGCTGCGGAGGTCTCGGGTCCTATTGATCTAGTTGTTGCTCTTGAAAAGAGCCTTTCATGAAGAAATACCTGGGTTGGCTGGTTGGGATGAATGTATCGCGTATGCGTGACGTGCAAGAATTAAAAAAAAACCTTCGAATATTATATCTCAAAATGTAATATAGCTTCTGGTATCTAGCAGAGGTATCTAGCAGAGGTATCTCTACGAAACTCATGTGGCCCATTTTTGCACATGCATGCATTGAGACGCATGTACGTACGTATGGCATACTCATAGCGGCCAAATAAATGCGAGGTGAGGAGGTTTTAGCGAGCTTGACTGTCAAAGTTGGGGTTGCGCGACTGCGACGGGGTTATAAGAGCTCCACTTTGTAACTTGGTAGCAGTTTAAATAATGCTGTGAGTGCTTACTTTGTCCTTTCAATTTTCAATCAAAATACTTACACCGTCTCGTCGTCACTTACAAATCACTCAATGTCCGCTTCTCGTCCCATTATACCCAAATGGGTCCAGCCTGAACCCACGAAAGAAAAATGCATGTTACGCTCACTATCAACGTTTAGCGTCTATCACTAAACCCAAGAAATGAATAGTTCATATACTGACGCCTTGTTATAGTGGACTATATTGCGCTTGAAAACCTTGATCTCTCTAAATTTGATGACCCGGTCACACGAAAGGAACTTGCAAACAAATTTTTCAAAGCTCTTACAGGGACGGGATTCTTCACAGTATCAAACCATGGTATAACAAACGAGCAATGGGATCAACAGATGGATCTTGCGCATGCAGTGATGACCATGACGCCGGAAGAAAAGAAGGTGTATGAAGGTTTGCATTTGATGTTCACTATACCCGGAAGCTATCTAAATAGGATCTAGTCTCATACGAAGACGACAAGAAGGGTGTCTATTGCGGCTTCAAGATCGCCGGAGGTCCTGGATATCACCCAAAAGTAGATACTGTGCATTATGGATGTTTTACAAACTAACATGTCATCAAGGTCGATTTTTACAACATGTTGCTGAACGACAAAGTCGTCGATCGTGAAGTTCCGCCTATATTGAAGCCATATATGCCAGAAACTCGACACATTATGGATCACGTTCGTGACGTTGTGCACTACAAGCTGTTGGTACTTCTTGCCATGAGTCTAGAACTTCCAGAAAAGGACGTGTTGTCATCGCATTTGCCTGGTGCTGCTTCGTCGGAATACTACAGATTCGTGAGTTATGGTTCGGCTCAAACAATTACTACTATTAATTTCCATATCAGAGCGGCTATGCTCCCTTGACAGCAGAAGAAAAAGTCAAATCCCGGGGTCTATTCATGCCGGGCCATGCTGACTGGGGAACCTTCTCAATCCTATTCTCCCAGACCATTGCTGCACTGCAGGTCCTGGACTACCAGACTGGATCGTTTAAATGGGTTGAAGTACGTCGCATCTTCCGTTGAACCAACTTTAGTGATTAATGTCTTCAGCACGTCCCATACGCATTAATTGTCAATATCGGTCAAGGTCTTGAGGTTCTCACAGGAGGTCTATATAAAGCTACCATCCACCGCGTTCTTACTCCACCTGCGGATCAGGCCCACGAGTTGAGAGTCGGTCTTTTCTACTTCTCACGTGCGAACGACGACTACCTTATGCTGCCGATGGCTGGATCGCCGGTGCTGAAAAGGCTGGGACTTGACAAGCCTCTTGATCCTGATAATACATTCACAGCCACTGAATTCTTAGAGGCGAAGAAGCATGGCTACATGAAGCCAGACTTTGATCACGACAAGCCCAAGGGAGAAAATCATGCTGATATGTTCAGGGCTGACGACAGGTATGAGGTGGCCAAACCGCTTGTATCGTACGATATCAAGGTTCAATAGACATCCATCTCCGTAGAACGGAATCACATGAAGTCTAGATCTTGAGCTGATGAGCAGTGGTTGCCAAGTACTGTGTGGAATGGAGTTTAGTGGGGGTTGCCCGAGTAGTTGGTAATAATATGGGTCTGAGACTTTTGGGCTTATTTTAGGACCTCTTAAAAGCCCCAAATATATTCCTTATCTTATGAACCCTTGCAGACATGCAGCAGTTGGCAATACTGGATGTGACCACCCTTTACCAGTATTGTGGTGCTCCACATGGTAGTGAAAGCCTCTAGCGCTACTTCGTATTCACGCTTTCAATTCATCCCGCATCCCAAGTAATTCTTATCTTCGACTCGTCGTGATTGTTTTTGTAGATATACTTATGGCGTTCTCTATTCACTAACGGTGGCTTTACATCCTTACTCATTATTCTTAATCGTCGTAAAAGATACACAAGATCAAAGTGTACATTACTTCAAAGCTTCTGTCGACGCTTGGCGAGAGTGCTGCTCCACATAGTGACTCCACCCTCCACCCACTCCACCACGGTCACCTCCACATTTCCAGCAACACTCGCCTCTAGGCTCTCGCATCTCGACCCCAAGGTCAGGGAGCTGTGGAACACTTGTGGAGTAATAGTGTGGAGGTAAAAGCATCACTGTAAATTCAACAGGCTCCTTATCATTAATATGTTCTTATCTGATCATGACTCGGTAGGAGCGAGCTTGGACCGTTGACAGCACTGGCAAGTGTTATAAAGGGGCATGCTTTCTGTCCTGTAAACATTGTACATCACTAGACTGTTATTCCAGGAGCTGTCAGCCTCGACGATATAAATATGTCCAACGAAGCGAAGATGGCACCTGCTCTGGAAGAAAAGAACGCAATCGCGCCTGTAGCAACCGACCCTATGTATGAGACTGGGGAAGTCCTTAAGGTTGATCTGGATGCCGATCCGGCTTTGGCAGTTCTATCAGGTGGAATACTCGAGTACACGGAAGAGGAAGGAAAGAGTGTGTTATCTAAAATTGTAAGTGCTAGTTCAATTGTCAATTTTGATCAGACACTCTGAAGAAAGTCGAGCAAAACAACTCAGCGCTACTAGCGTTACTATTCAACGAAAGCCTGGATAAACGGTTTCCAGGAGACTTTCTACTAAGCACTTTTACTGACGATTTACCAGGATTGGCATATACTCCCTATTCTCTGTTGGATTTACGCCATCCAATTTGCCGACAAGATTAGTCTAAACTATGCGTCTCTCATGGGAATCCGAGTAGACACGCATCTAGATCCGAATTCCCAGCAATATAGTTGGGTATCTAGTATCTTCTACGCCGGATACCTTTTATGGGAGTGAGTTCCCTGAGCAAACTTATCAGGACAGGCTAACAAAAGCGTCTCTAAGATTTCCAACAACGTACCTGCTTCGACGTCTTCCTGTTGCAAAGTACACCTCCTCCAACGTCATAATCTGGGGTGTTGTCCTCACCTGCCATGCCGCAGCAGCAAACTATGCCGGGCTTCTCGCGCTTCGATTCTTCCTTGGACTGTTCGAGGCGACCATCACTCCTGCCTTCGTTCTGATTACATCCATGTGGTACAAACAGAGTGAACAAGGTCAACGCATGGGCTATTGGCTCGCTTGCAACGGCATAACTCTCATTGTTATGGGACCCATTGGTTATGGCCTGTCGGCAATCACGGATTCTTCACTCGCATCCTGGAAAATCCTTTTCTTAATCCTCGGTCCTTTGACAATCGCTACTGGCGTCTTTTGCTTGTGGTATCTGCCGGATAATCAGACCAAAGCCAGATTTCTCAATGACCGCGAACGACAAGTTGCAGTTGAACGGATTCGGTAAGTCTTTGGTTTTGTGAAATTATGCCCCTTTTTAAGCCTATTTTGCTGACTCAACTGGTATCATAGTGAGAACTTTCAAGGTATTGGTTCCCGAGTGTGGAAGTGGTACCAATTCCGAGAGGCATTCAAAGACCCGAGAACCTATCTATATGTGCTATTCTCGTTGTTGATGAACATTCCAAATGGCGGCATCACAACATTCGGATCTCTCGTTATCAGCTCTTTTGGTTTCGGGCCCAGGAACTCACTCTTACTCGGAACGCCAGCGGGGTTGTTCGATCTGGGAGGGAAGTTGTTCTTCACATGGGTTTCCGACAAACTCATGGACAGAAGTGGACCTGCCTTCATTGCCATCCTTTTCCCCATGGTGGGAGGTATTCTTATGATCACAGCCCACGCCAAGCCCGCCCTTCTCATCGGATACTACTTGATCAGTGTATCAGGCTCGGCTTGGTGTTTGGTCATGGTTCTCATCTCCAACAACACGCTCGGATACACTAAAAAAGCGACGGTTAGTGGTGCCCAGATCATTGCCTATGCGTGTGGCAACTGGATCGGCCCCCAGACCTTTAGATCAAACGAGGCACCAGATTACCCAACCGGAAAGACTCTTGTTGCAATCATGTACGGACTGTCCGCATTGGTCTTGCTTGCGATCCGTGTGCTCAATATTTACGAGAACCGTCGGCGCGACCGCTTGCAGACAGAATCCGGCACGCTGGAGTTGACGGAGGAGGATGAGCAGAATAAATTTCTAGATCTCACGGATTTCGAACAACCACATTTTCGCTATGTCCTTTGAGGAGTTCGGCTAGTATGAGCTGCTTTTGTGCTGTTACAGGTCCTCAGTTGTTAGTTTAGAGATAGATAGCTAGATACTATATGCTACAAAGACTGGGGAAACCATTATGATTTGATAATACTAGACTACCAGTACTGTTGGTGTGGTGGTGATGCCTCCTTCACTTACCTAAGCTTCGCTAAGTTACATGACTAGAAAGGCTCTCACTATGACCCCTTATATCCCGAGACTAGCAACCTCTCTTCTGTGGTTGGATTGCCTCTTTAGAATATAGGCTAGTGAAATACAGAATTCCCCTCACTAGCTACATGCTATATAATACAGGATTCGCTATCTTAATATAGGAATAAAAGAGATTTATAACATAAATATAACATAAATATAAGAAAAAAGTATAAGATAGATTAACTTAGCTAATAAGAATATAAAGATATATTAAGAAACTAATAAGGAAGCTTTTTTAGATCGCTTCGAATTAAGTATCTAAATTACTTTTAACTTACTTTTATTAGGGTAAGGGCTGTCTGTCATCACCTCTTCGCTTCCCACACTTCCACTTTGAACCCGCTTATGCCGCTTGACGTATCTCCCTATACTATGCCACCCTACCTACCTACCTGACTGAAAACCAAAAGTGATTATTGCCATCACTTTCCAGATCCTCAAGCACGAAACAACAGATTCATTCCTCAATTGTACGCTCTCTAAGTCTCTACAAGTCGACCCTACCAAACAACCACGAAACATGCGTGCTTTTACATCATGGTGGTGGCGCTCTTCGACGCCGATGGACAGGATTAATTTAGCAATGAACGTCCCACTATATATCGTGGGGGCTTTGTTCTTGAAAGAGTATCTGATGAACAAGTGGAAAAAGAAAGAAAATGCACAAGTTACGGGGTCTTCTGGCTCGGAATAATTGTTGATGGTTGTGTTTATGCGTGTCCTGGAGAGGGCATGATCATGTGCAACGAATGGGAAAGAGGATGTCTTGCTTATTGTTGCTTACTAGGGCAGTATGAGTACTTGTTAATCCAATGTGCCAATTCATGCTAATTGGCGATAGTTCTACACTACCTACGGTCTTGGTACTTTGTGTGCACTGTTGTTTATTAGGAGGGGAGTTTTGGGAGCAGCATATTTTCCTACCAGCATTGTGGTCACAGTCGGTGCCGTTGGAGAAAGAGGACACAAATTTGGAAAGCAAGGATACTTACATGCTCCACACCAGGGTGTCTTATTATAGTATGTATTATACTTGTCGCCTTCCCTAATAAACAGTACTTCACAAGAGGTGCACCGCAATCTTCCATAATTTCCTTATTTCTAACGACGACCCCTAAATCTCCACATTGAACTCAATCGAACTATATATCAATGTTCCTGATTACATACCACTGCTCCTCAGCTCAAGGATCCTTCATACCCACCTCGGCCTCCCAGAGTCTGCCAACAATGCTCCCGTAATCCAAGCATCAACTTCCATCTTTTCTTGCACTAGTCTCTGCCGCCCATGCCCAGTGGAATCAACTCTCGTCATTTTCAGATCTCCTACTCCTTCAGAATTTTGTTGCTTCCCGGTACCGACACGTCCTGGTACCTAGTGTTGCCGCATAGGACCTCGAAGCTTTCGGCGAGGTTGTGCTTTTGTGTCAATTGCCGGCGATGGCGCTCAAGGACTTCAGTGATGACCAAAGTTCGAGGCTAGGTCCAGTAGAAAATTGTGCCTTGCGAGCTCCCAGTTGATACATTCTGTTTTTCGACACAACTTCCCAGAGTCTTCTTAAACCACCACGCCTTTTCGGGGGGTTTCTCTTTACGAGCCATTGTTGCTTCAAACGGGCGAGCGAGGAGCGCGATTAAAGGTGTTGGCGATTTGTTGTTGAGATCGAGGTGAATATGTCGTAGGAACTGACTCCAATCAGACTATTGCTCACAGTCCATAAAAGCAATATTTACATTCTTTCACATCTGTAATGCAGCAGGAAATGAGACCCTAGACAGAACCTCTAAACCTGTCTTAGGCTGGGGTTGTGTCTTTCCATCTCCAATGGGGAGGTTGTGTCTCTCGTCTCTAATGGGGAGGTTGTGTCTTTGTGGTTGAATCCAGCTGCTTATATAAGTGTACGAGTATTAAGGCCATAAAACTTTCAATCTTTCAGAAACGAAGTCACGTGTATATACCAGCTTTCTTTACATTTTAATCTTTTCCTAGTCTGGTTGGCTCTCTTCCATCTTGTTAAATAATTCGTTCTCCTAATCGTCCACTTATCGTTGCACGTGGTAGACGTCGTCGCATTCGCTCCTAATCAAGCGAACATGGCCGGTGGGATTTTGTATGGCATCTACACCTAAAAATTCATACAACTAGTGCAACCTATAAGCAGCCACCCCAGACAAATACTAAAAATGCACCCCTCTCCTTATATACCTTCATCGCCTCCACCGTGTATTATACGCTCACCTGCTACCTCCCTAATTGCTACGTACGGAGCTGCAGTCCAAGACGCCAGTAACTATAAACAACGCCTGCGAAAAGCGAAGAAATGGCTATATTAATCCATTTATATATACAGATAACCCTGATGCAGTAGAGCATAACGCAGAAGCTTTTCTGCATCAGGAAGCTATAGAGGATGTCCAAATTCTCACTTTCATGCCATCACCTGGCCCTGGCTTTATATCACTATATGGAGAGGCTTTTAACGTCCCGCTTGACCCTAAATTGCCTTATAATAGTAGTAGTAGCAATAGCAAAAGTGATTCAGAAGATGCATTTGATTTGGATGATACGGCTATCAGGTTTACTTTGCGACGAGGTAGTTAAGGTCACTTTATACCAACTTTTGTATGTAATAGTACTTATTTATTCTCACCGGCTTGACAGCCAAAATCGCTTCCGTAGACTAGGAGCGAATGCGACGACGTCTATCACGTGCAACGATAAGTGGACGATCATTTGATTTTCATTTTGATGTTGCGTTGCTTACATAAAATTAATTTTCTTGTCAACTTTTTTGGCTTTCATCGAAGGAACAGATGAGATGTTTCATGTGCGCTACTCTTACCAAATCTACGGCATCTAGGAAACATTATTGATCAAGGCATAACTAATCATTCCGAAGCAGACAGGTAACTTTCAATCTATTCTTTGCTTGCATGATTTTGACCTGGCAATTTGCGACAAGCCTATAGCCCTTTCGGAAACTTATCCACCCCACTTTGACATCTCCTGGACGCAGATCCACAGCTCGAGTTTTGGACTTGGGACGACGAACCCAAACGGAGTCGGAGCCTCCTCATCCTACGTCTTCGGGTTCCCGTCCTCGGAATATATGACACCACTGGGCGAATTGAGACCAGCTGCAACTACCCAAGAGTAAGGGTTTCGTTTGCTTTCGTAATGTATCTTCTCTATCAATGGCTCTGCTACTGTATCAGTACGGAGAGCTTTTTACTTCATCCGGTTCCCCATGATGGGATATCCTTATTCGTAATTATTTCGGTACGAACCCATCCAAGGTTTGAAAAAGAGCGAATAAGGAGACAAAATTCATTTGCATGAAAACCCTCGATGTCTTCTATTAACAAGGTACAGTCTATGGGAAGATCGTGATTTGATCCCGCCAGACTATCATCGTTTCAGGATTCCCGGGGGCACCCAGCGCACGATTTTGTTTTGAAACTGCGCAATGAACAGTAAGAAGCGGGTATCTTGTTGCAAATGTCGAAATGTCTTACTTGTAGTTGTGGTTCTTGCCCAAGCAAACGAAAATGGCTTCGATACTTCCAGAAACTCCTGGTAGAGGACGCTCACGATTCTCCAAAGCTTTGCCCACTGCTCCAAGAGATACTTCCCCGATATCGATGAAATCAAATCTCCGGCATTCCCCTCTTCCTCCTCTCCCAAAGGACGCAATGCTTCCGAGCATGTCTATCCGCCGCAGACCGGTTGGTGCTTCAAAAAACGAACAAACGAATACTCCGTCGATTGCTAGTGTGTCGTCTGTCTATTCTGACTCTCCGCGGAGTGTTTCGGACAGCAGCAGGATCTCGAGGGAGTCATTGAGTGGTGGTGACTCGGAAAGTGGTCCAACACCTCCTCTGCCACAGAAGGACGAACAAAGAGAGGAAGTAGCGAAACCTGTAGAAGTGAGTGAATGAAATACAGTTTTAGCGTTATTCTATCCTTCCATGGAATGTCTCAAGTGTTGGGGGATATTAAGATTAACAATCAAAGAATATTCGAGTCGTTTTTGCTAACTCGCGATTTTCCCCTCCAGTCCCCAATTCATATTCTTGCAAATCCATCCGCTGGCTTCGTATCATCACCGCCTAGGCCGGAGATTTGGAGACGTCGATCAGTTCGAAGCGACAAGAGCATCAGATTCCCAGACTTGAAGTTGGAGAAAAGCAACGGGTCGACGACTAGCCCACCGGAAAGGCAAGGGCCACCGCCTGAACGATCTTTACCTGCGATACCTTTCGCCCTCCCAAAAAGTACAGGCAGAAAACCTGTGCCTGCACGACCAGCTCCTCCCCAGCCCGAATTTATGGGGAACAAACTCTCGAAGCTGAAGGAGAAGCATGCTCGGAACAAATCAAACGCATCAATAAGCAAAGAGGAGGGAGTAATCACCAAAGATGGAGGGGCACAAAATGGAACTGGATCTCTGCAAAACTCGCCATTCACTCGACTTCCGACTCCAGATTACCAGGACACAGACACGCAGCGCACAGCAACACCGCGAGGATTGTCTCCACGAACACCACATACCCCACCAGGTGAAGCAACTCCGGAGCTTCCAAGCAGGTCCGAATCACGTCTCATGTCTAATGGCAACGCCAATGCCAGCAGACCAAACTTCCTCACCACTCACACCCGAGAATCGAGCGAGACACTCACAATTACCTCCGAGCCGCGAGTAACCCGTTCCCCGCAGCCCCAAAAGCCCTTTACGACATCCAAAATCCTCACACCACAGCCTTCGCCTTCCTCGTTATCCTCGCCGCCACTCACTTCTCCCTTGCCCTCGAAGATCCACTTCCCCACCCAAGGGCCGCCTGCTCCGCCAGGCAAGATCTTCCCGGGTGCGCCGCTGAGTATCGTGCAGCTGCAGTGCTACCAATCGCACCGCTTCATGCGCAGCACGAAGAATACAATGTGTCCGACGGCGTGCATGGTCTGTCAGAGGCAGGATAGGGATATACGGTGGCGGTGCTCGTGGTGCTGCTTGAGCGCGTGCGGGGGATGTATGAAAGTGCTGGCTTCCGTGCCAGGACAGGATCTGAAGGTGTGTTTGGAGAGGTTGGGGCGCAGATGATATAAGGGAGTGGAAAACTTGCATATATGGGAATGGCGTTTTGCGTGTGTTGGGTTTCGCGTGCATTGAGACGGGGCATAGATGGCGGGTTTCATCGATTTGTTGGTTTTGGACTCGTTGGTTTGTACATATGGTGGTTGGGTACGCCCTTTCTATACCTTCTGATGACGTCTGCTAGCAGACGGGAAAATATATACATGAGTTTCATAGCTTGCTACCTTTTTCTTCTTTGGGTTTTTACTCGCCTGGCTATTTCATTTTCGTTTTTCTTGGAGTCGTACTAAGTGATACAGACCAAGCAGACTGCTCAAGACAACTTTTGAAAGGGCGTGGGTGCACTTTGATAAAACGAGCAATACAAAATATGCGGGCTCCATACTCGCGGATGTCGGCTGAACTTTTTAGCTTTGCTGACTTTCTTTGTAGGTCCAAGATGGAGGATGACCGAGGTGTTGGTCGTTTTTGATGCTGTGTTTTTATGGCAAGCAACCTGCCTGGCTTCTCACAATAGCTAGCATATTTCCTGTACTTCTACCTTCTAGGAACAAGTTATCTTGCAAATCATACTCGTCATCACCTAATCATCACCTTGCACCCACAGAAATCATATATTTTCCTTATCGACTTCGCTCGTTCGTTCTAAGGATCGATTCGAGTCGATAACCCGGAGCCTATGCACAGTTACTGTAGTAATTCCCTAGTGGTAACGACTTAACACGCCGCTCCTGAAGGAACATCCTGCAAGTAATCATTCTATTTTCCTCGTGTCTGCTTTCCCGGCTATGCATTGTCTTTCGGTATGAGCCTTCGCGCTGTACTTCTTTCTTCCTCTTGAAAAGAAATCCCGCTGTGATCCACGGCTGTACACTGGTACAATGCAGGGGTAGAATCACGCGATTGGACTTGAAGAAGAAGGAAAAATGCTAGAGCAATATTTCTAGCGCCAGAGACGCTCACCGTTTGGTAAGCGTACTGCATGTCTTTCGGTATCAATGTCTTTTAGCATGACAAGACTGGTTTTCTCGTGACGATGGAGAGAAGATATAACGAATCGAGAAGATATTCTCGAACTTTTTCAGTCTCGAACTTCTCCAGTCCTATCCTGTCCAGCCGGAGCGGCGAATCATATCATATCATAGAGTTCAAGACATCGCGGGAAAACCAGCTGCCGCGCCTTTGCCCATACTTTGCATTCTCCTCAAACCTCGCTATTTTTATTCACCAAAGCTGTTAAGGGGTGAGTACAGATCATGTTCTTGTATTCTAACAAATAGGACATACATAAAGAGAGACGAGATTCTAAAGGGATAGTCACTTATATACAGTTTTGTGAACACGTGCAACGAACCCCTGTTGGGATATACTGGGGTTCAGATGATACTATGACAAAAGCACCTTTATAGGAATCTACGCAAGTTGGCAAAACTTCAGTCATGGAATAATTTATAGTCTTATATTGAATTAACAATCTTTATAATCAAAAAAGACAAGCATCCTTTTCAGGAGTAAGGCTAATGTGTCATCTTTTGCTTTTTGGTCTACTAACCCTACTGTCATATTTTCGTTCTTGCTATATTTAGATTTTCAGATTGGTGTACCCTAAAAAACTATATATCAGCTTTTCCTTTCATTGCGCTCCCTTTCATTTGTGGCCTTTTAATTCAAATTCTGTTTATTTTTAGTGTTTTTTCTTAGGATGTGCTTGCTCGGTTAAAAAGGGGTGGGCTGATGGTTTTAAGCACGTGATTGAGCTTATAATGTTTGTGTAGTAATCACGGTGCTGGATGCGCGGAATAAAACGTAGTAAAATCTTATTTCTATTGATGGAAAGTGGAAGTGCAGATTGAGTAGCAACATTTCCTTACTCAATCAGCACGATGGCCCCTCCCGGCAGGATAGGCGGTTACTATGGAATTAATTGGTATTGTTTTGTGATATGATGGCCCGGTGTTGCGAGTTGAAATACTGTTTAGGAGTCTGATCTCTCCTTAGCGTCAATGGATGTGAATAGAATTGAACTTAACAGGGGTTGGATATTTGAACTTGCCAGCTCCAAAAGCTTATACCATCACGTGTTTGGACAATCCGCGCGAGTACACGTTGAAGTCAGTCAAACACGTGAGCATTCATTTGGTCTTGAAATCGTATGGTGCACCACATAATCCAAAGATTCCTCAAGTTCGGCGCAAAAAGAAGCCCCTCTATTTGTACAGCATGCAAGAATCCTTGGCATCGGTTCCTGCGTATCCCAATGGTCAACCACATGGCCGCTAAATCTGCAGTATACGGAGTACGAGTACTCGTCACCCCGCGCAACCACGAATCATGAATTTGCACCCATCTGATCTCAATGTTAATGTGCTGTGCCATGCTTCCTCAAAAGAATACAATTATCAAAAGCTTCATTCTCTCTCAATATCCTCCTGTCTCCATTACCATCGTCGTTTGATTAAGCGGATAACGTTGCTTGGTCGACCCTGCGGCCCGATAATACGTACGATAAGGATTGTTTACTCCCCAGCAAACGAGCCATTTTCCAAGATCACCACACAGACGCATTCTTCAGATAATACAAATACCCGCATTCCACGGCTACATATCGATATCTCGAACACTCGCTAAAGAAGATACTTTCCACCGTTTTGATTCCTCGGGAAAGGACCCGAGACAGAGCTGCCCCTCGAGGGCCAGCACAAGCACACCGTCATTTACGATGGGAGACAATCTCTCTCCCGCCGGGAGCAGCACCTATTCTTCCAACACGATGTATGTAGGGGATGGAACCTGGGATGCTACGAGGAACGATTTTCTGCTGCCAAATCTGGTGGGATTGAATTTTGAGACGATGAGATATAATGGTACACCTCCCTTTGGCTGGTAAACATTTAGGAAGGATATCTGCTAACCGCTTGGTTCTTGGAAATAGGCATGGGAAACCGATTTAAAGAAATGCCCCAATATTACGGCCTCATACTAGCACACGGGGTTATCGCGGTCATTGCCTTCCTCTTCATCGTACCAGCCGCGATTCTCACAGCGCGGTTTTACGGACGTTCGCCGGGCTGGGCGTTGAAATGGCATATCTATTTGCAGGTTATGACGGTCCTATTATCTACAGTGGTATTCATACTAGGCTCATTTGCAGTCGGTTCTAGACGCAGTTATACGAATCCTCACCATGGCATTGGGCTCGCGATATATGTTCTCATCTTGGTACAAGCGATTGGCGGATGGTGGGTACATTCTCGCGAGAAGGGGAAATCGCGGAGGAAGTTGCCTATTAAATTGGTTCTACATCAGTGGATTGGTAGAGCCGTCGCCTTGTTGGGTATTGCGCAGGTTCCGTTGGGACTGACGCTTTATGGGAGCCCCAAGTTTACGTTTATTCTATATGCACTTTGGATGGCATTTTTGTTGGTGTTCTATTTTGTGTTGAGTTACAGGTCGTTGCCTCATTTTGGTGTCGGTGCGAGGGAGAGCAGTCATGGCGGGACTGTTATTGAGGATCGAAAATCGAGTCGATTTGGGGGCTTCTTGGCTCCATTGACGGCTGGAGCTGTTGGAGCTGGAGCTGCTGCTTTGTTGAGTGGACGCCGACGGGATAGAAGTAGGAGTCGAAGCAGATCCAGAAGCAGAAGAGATGAAGTCCTTCCTAGTCGACGAGGCAGCGGGAGTTACATTGAGGAAGAGAAGTTCCAGTCGAGACGGAAAGAATCGGGCACAATGGACAAGGTGTTCAAAGTGGCAGCCGCTGTAGGTGCTGGTGCACTGGTCAAGAGTCTATTGGATCGACGGCATAGGAAGGATGAGGAGAGCGAATATTCTTCAGTAGCACCTGATACACCATCACGCCGGCATGGACGAAGCTCGCACTACAATGATACTGAGATCAGCGAAGACAGCCGAATGGAACAAGGCCGACGACCCCGAAATCCCATATTGCCCGGCCCAGGAGACCCCGTTGCAGCAGCTTCTGCTATGAGTGCCGCTGAAGCTAGACCTCATACCCCACGGCCACTTCCTTCACATTCTCATGGTCGCCAAACCAGCTACGATTCTAATTCTTACTATGACTCGGAATACTCTCCATCTCGGCATCCACAGTCAACACATGGCGTTCGGAATGGGCTATTGGCAGGACTGGGATTGGGATGGTTTGCGAAAAAGATGAAGGATCGCCGGGACAAAAAGGAGATGGACCGTCTCGACAGAATAGAAGCAGAGCGCATCGAATCCGAACGCCTAGCACGACATGGATCTAACGCGGGCGGATCTAGACTGACTGGAGATGGCTTTCCGACACCCATTCGAAAGCACCGACCTCAAGAATCAAACATATCGTCGGATCTATCATCAATTATCGATGATCCACATTCCATTCGGCCAGGAGCTTCCATCCCACCGGTTCCATCCACAATGGCAGGAGGATCAGCTGCGGCTCACCAGCCGGGATCGAGAAGCAACCTTACAGAACCTCTAGTAATGCCATCAGCACCCCCCGATCCACAGGGTATCCTACACCAAGACTCAGAGAGCGAAACCTACATGTCATCAGGTGGCCAACCACGCCGCCGGCCCTCAGCACGTCGACGGCGAGAAGGTGAAAAAGCAGCTGCAGTAGCAGTAGCAGCAGGCCTCGCCGCAGAAGAAGAAGCGAGAAGACATCGCAGTAGGAGTCGTGGTGGCGAACCCGTGACTTCTCCGCCTGTCAGCGTCAAAGTCAAGGTACATGGCGATAAAGACCGAAATGTAACTTTAAGGCGGTTAACAGAGCAAGAAGCGGCTGCGGAGAGAGAAGTCAGGAAGAAGAATTCCCATCGAGAGCGCAGGCGGCGGGCCGATAGTCTGAGTAGTTTGAGCGGTACTGATACTGCTATTTCGAATCGACGGTATAGGAGGAGTGAGAGAGCTGCTGAGAAGAGAGCTGAAGCGAGCGTTCCTCCTCCACCTGCAATGGCACCATTAGATCCTCCGAGTCCCGCATTCGCTGGTGGGCGAAAACCAAAAGACAGCGCATATTACAGCGGCCGGCCAGGCGAATCATCAGCGCTTGGGGGTGATGGAAGTGTAGGCAGTCATGGGACGTGGAGTGGAATGAGTCCTGGAAGTGGGAAGGGGAGTGGGAGGGGAAGCACTATGAGTGAGGATGCGGCGGAACGGCGGCGGAGGAGGAGGTTAGAGAGAAGTCAGAAACCGACGGGGACTGTGGATTTCACTTGATGAACGTGCGTATATACAGATACCACTATATGATTGTGCTTTGTGCTACTGCTAGGAGTTTGGATTGTAAAACTAGTTGGATGAGGATATGGATTGCATAGCCACGAGATTATTTCGATGATGTTTGCGGCATTAATGAATGGACTTTATACCCATGGACTACTTCATAATTAAATGTACGCGCTTGGCAAATGGCTTCCTTATCACAAAATGCTACAGAAACTCACAATAGAATAATCCAAAGGAAGCATGTGAAGAGACAAGGCTACCTATCCCCCAATCAGCCTCGCGCTAAAAAAAAACACGCCGCATGTAAACAAACCGCCCTCCAGATACCTCCATCTCCCACTATTCACTTCACCTCACCACACCACCACTTAAACCTCCTTTCCAGCAACCCAAGGAAAGAAAACAGCACAATTCCTCTTCCGCAAAAAATGCCATCCGCAAACCAAGCCCCCACATCACCCTCCCCAACCCCACCACCCCATCCACCCACAGCGCTCACGCCCGGCAAACGCGCCACAGCCCTGCGCGACATCTACACGAAAACGCTCGCCGCGACGCTCTCCTCCATCACGTACGCCACGTTCGCCGAATGCTTCCCGTCGATCGACGCACATGCGCTGCAGGCACTGCATGCGGATATGGTGGGTAAGCTGAGGGTGTTCGCGATGGCGGAGTTTGAGAGGGTGTGTGAGGAGAGAGGGGTCGTGGAGGGGTTGAATGGGCTAGAGGATGTGGTGGAGGAGGGGTGGAGGAGGAGGGCTAGGAGTAGTGATGAGGGGGTGGGGAAAGTGGTTGCGTAAGTTTTCCCTCTGTTTTGTGCTTTGTGTTTGGCTTTTTAGAGGGCGATGGGGATGAGATTGGAAAGAGGAAGGCTGATTTGTGAGGGATTTGGTTTAGGCCGCATACTTTAGCACCGAATACCCTGGTTCAGGGCCATGTGTACGCGGTGTTGAATAGTCAGCAGAGCCAGCTTAACGCGAAGCTGCAGACGGCGCAGAGTCAGAATGCTAGTTTGAGGGAGAGGATGGAGGAGCAGAGGAAGGAGATTGAGGGGTTGGTTGGGGGCCTTGAGGTGGTGGTAAGGGATTTGGAGAGTGCGGGGAGGTTGGTTGGAGAGGAAGGGGAGGGGTTAGGGGGTGCAGAGTAGGGAGGCAGAGAGGGCGATTGGGGATGTGGGGATCGGTAGTCATTGATTGAGTGCTGGGTGTATGGGTATGGATTTGTAATAAAGGGATTGGGGAAATTGGCGTTTATGGGAGGGATGGTTGGATGGGTTGGGATGGGCCGGATATACCAGGGCGCGGTTATGATGGTATTCAAGCACAATACTAGAAGATTGTATGCTGCCTACAGCTTAGAATTGTCATCCAGAGCAAGATTTGTCAAGTGTTCTATATCACAATTAAAGATAAGTATACAGCCGAACAGTCCCTTGCAATATCTCAGTTACGCCTCCATCCAACACTGGTTTGTTTCGCCAATACCTAGTAGGAACACCCTCATCTCAACGCTATTCAGATGCTAATATGTCGACCAGGAAATTCAAGCGTAGACCCCGAATCCCAGTCTACCTATCAATCACACGCCAGTTTAAACTCCTACCGAATTCCTATAATATCCTAAACAACTACCAACATCCCCCCCTTCTCTCCGCGCGGTAGCAATTTCTCCTCGAACCTCGCTCCCCATATTCCGTCAAATATTCAGTAGGTGTAATCCGTTCCGTTCATTTTACCGTTCGCCAGTCAATCACCCATCTCTTCCCCTTCATAATCACGAGACCGCTCTTACGAGGAGTTCTGGAAGGAATGGGCCCCATGCTTCGTTTGGCATAGCACTAGAGAGAGAAGACCAAAGGAGGGATTTTAAAGGGGTGGGAGAAAGGAGAAAGAAGATAGATACTGGAAGTAATCAATAATCTCGGTATCTAGAGGAAGAACATGACTCCCGAGGCAGTTCGGAAAGAAAGAGCGAGCTGCCGGGCTATCTACCTACCCCGTATCCTTCTCAACCGTCGTCGTAGTATATAGAAGGTTATGAATTCGGCTGCGGAGATAACCAATGCCTAAATTACCCCTGATTTTGGAAAATACTTAAGCGAGCTCGAGCATCCATTCCAAGCTTGCCCTCCCCCGCCCTCCCCCCTTTTTTTGGTTGTGGCTGGACTTTGATACTTCAGTCAACGCTTCGAGGCATGCCTACGCCAAAAACAATGGGTGAATAGATGGAGGTTAACTTATAAATAACAGCCTGGGTTGGAGATGGTCTGCACGGGAAAATCAGTTGCACAAGTAGGATATATGAGCGAGCGCTTTGTCGGGATCTCGAAGTAGAGAAGTAAAAAGCCGAGTAATTAGTGAGAGAAATTGTGTTTTTAGTCGGAGAAACCAGAAGTGCATGGATTGGGAGAAGTAGGTATAGTACAGCTGCCGCAGAGAAAATTGGATCATGGGGACTTTACAATTAGAACCATTGGAAAAGATTCCTGGGGTGGAAGATGGGGTTGAAGATCAAGATATATAAATTAGGACTGGGTCGGGTATGATACTTAGTGTTTTTTGTAGCTTGTATTTGTGCTTATGATTAATTGCTCGGATTATTGATATAGCAAGTTTTGGCTAATTTAATCAACTTATCAAGACTTCCTAGATGCTCTCAAAGAGAGCAAGTACCATTCGTCACTGCTAGTTTTTGAGAGCCTTATTTTATACTCTTATCATAATGACGTAAAGCGATATAATACTTGCAAGCTGTCTTGATTTGAGATCTGTGTCCCATCTGAAAAAGCTCATGTTCAGGTAAAAGTCATAACGACCAGCTAGCCCCGGCCCGAATTTTGTCAATGCCACCTGCCCGAATATGCGATTTCCATGCCCTGAGAGGACTTTAAAGTGCCCAAAGGGAAATATGCGCGAACTTACTTCCCAAGTCTTTACTTTGTCAAAATCCACGTCGTAGTATTTACTAAATGAGTCTCCGACGGATATTATTCGTCGGCTCGGGACAGTAATCTGTTGACGAGGTCCGGTAATAGTCACCGAAGAGTGAGCCATTTATTGCGAAGCCCCAGGAATAGATACTGAAGGAGTAGCAGTTGCTGTGGCTTCGAGATAGGAAGGCACGTCCTTTTCCTTCATGGTCTCCAGAACTCTCTCAGCATACTGATTGGTTTTCTTGTCACTCGTATATCTTCGTAAAGATTAAGAGCCGAGGTTCCATTAGAGTCTAGATGCTCTTCAATAATGGCGTCCAAAGACTGCAATTCCACCTGAGTGATCGCATCAGAATTGTCATTCGCTGGCCGTTGGGCTGCCTCAGAGCCACCAAAAGCATGTCGGTTTAGTAAGTCTTGGGAGGAAAATCCAGAACTACTGCCAACCTCCACTGCTCCCTCCAGTTTTCCAGGACTAATGAGCAATAGCGGGGCTTTGGCACATACTTCGGAGTACAAGCGTATCGTGTCACCTTAAAATCTGTCCATCGCGCCGCGACTTGCCATAAAAGTATTATGGAGCGCCATCTGATGCATACTAGAGGTTATTAGCTGGGAAGATTGCACCTCAAGAATGGAAACCCCACCAATATTTCACCGAATCGTAAGTCATAGCCGCTAGCAAAGAATCCAAATTCTGCTGCTGTTCCTTCACTGCCTCCCGGTAAAACAACAATTCCAATTTCTTAGAAAAGTACCCAGATATCCAAATACTAGCTAGCGTTTTTAGCCCTAATATCTTCTATTCTGCTCTTATATATTATGCCTATAGCATTAAATATGTCTAAAGAACTAGCAATTAAAAGGAGCCATTAATATACATATATAATAGGATATCTGTTAAGAATACAGGTAACATACTTAGGTTATATCACGTAGCAGTTGCCCTAGCAACCGCTGTGATGCACCCAGTGTATTAGGACACTTTATAGTAGAGTTGCAACTTAGTTCTATAGTCTATTAGATACCAATTCTATCACCACCTAGCTTCCTACTAGCGTGGTGCAATCTAGCAGTCATTCTCCAGTGCACCTAGGGCATCCTTTCAATAATATCTTTAGAATAGACCCCTTTATATCAGTCGACTTATCAGCCATCCTCAGCTTTAGCCAGTCAGTTAGTTGTTTACCACCCAAATTATTAGTTAGTCAGCTGCTCCCTCAGCCTCAACTGATGACTTACTGACTAACTTATTAGCCTGTCCGGTCATGGTGTTGAAGTGCTGAAATCGCTAGTGTCCCGATTTGATCCGATTCCAATACGGAGGAAGATAGCCTAGGTTCGAATATTCATGAGTCGTAATCATGGTGCCTAGTGGTGAGATCATGGCGCAGGTAAACGTCGTTTAGAGCTCAGCTTATTCTGTGGTCGTCGTATAAGTAAGAGCTAAGCCTCGGGGCTGGGTCACATGCTAAATTCATAACCCAACATAACGTAAATATATTACTTCATCTTGGTACCAGTACAGTACTGCATATACTTCTTTCCAGAAGTATCAAGATCCCTACAACCAGGTATGAAAGCGGGGGTCGTGGAATAGAAGCTGCCATGGAAAGTCACCCTGGAAAGTCACCCTTGAAGCACAACCCCTGCGGGGTCCTGTCGGGGGGAGACCTGGGACGGAATACGGGGTACTCGCAATTTTCTTACAGACTAGAGTCCGACAGCCTGGCGCTCCCTATAATATTGCCTCTATAATTATATCTTCGGCAGACTTAAGAATCTTAAATTCAAATAAAGATAGAGCTCTGATCGAAAAGTCTCCTTTTAAGATTCGTTTACACTTCCTATTCTGGGGACTTATACGAAGTACTCGGGTCGTAAGTCAGTCATATAATTGGGATTTAAACTAACCGTGCCCTGCCTACTAGTGGGAGTGTTAGACTTAATCTTTAGAAAAGAGACGAGTAGGTATGTATAGGCAGCAACATTAACCGTGTTTTGAAGAGTAGCTGTTGTTTACCTACGCCGCGCCGTCGAGAAGTAGTTTGATTCCCTTCTTGGGCTTAAATGACACGCTTCACACAGTGTACATGTTTGGCTAATCAAGTAGCTAGGAATAGTATTTAGATCTAGCGGATCACTGGATTATCACCGTAAATTCCCACTATAGAAAAAGCGGGGCTCAAATTCCTTTTCAGCGGCGCGGAGTACGTGGTAAAGGAGTGCATCGTGCGTCTCGGTGACCCGGGGGTCATCCTTATCTCGCTCTCTATCCCCCGCTTACAAAGAGGGCATAGAAACCCGACGCTATGCAGTCACTAGTAGTCCGGGGAACGGGGCAAGGTCAATGCGAAAGGTGTACAAAGTATCCGTATTCTTACAAATAGCTTTTTGATCCCACGTCCCACGCCCATGTCTGCGTGCGGCGTACTGTCCAGGATGTATAGCTGTTACCTCGCATCTTCACCAAATATTTGACTAGGATCTTGCACTTAAGGTACTCCATAGTACAGTATGGTACGTCGTACCGTTACATTTCCCCCACGTGTAGCTTCCACAGTCTGGGTTCATAATTTGGTCTTGATGAAAACCGATATATATTATTCCCAGAAGACTCGTGTATTTGTCCACTTAACCTTTGAGCCTTTTAAGCGGTGAGAACATCTGTGCACCTCCACCCATATCAGAAACCAAAGAGTACAGTAATCTGTACGGCATACGCGAGCCCGCGAATAAAATAAGGTTATGGCTGCTTGAATCGGGTGGACGTGCCGCTGCTAGGTAAGTGGATAGATCTTTACGTACGCACGGGTTAACTCGCACGTTCTGGGGTTGCATTCGCTTATATATCTATACATAGCCTCACAAAGCACGCTTAACGACTTTCCCTTCTAAGATTGCAATTGCGAATTCCAAGTTTATAGAATATCATATACTTTACTTTCTTATTTGCAAAGGGAAACTACAATTATATTTTGCTATTCTCAGACCGGGTATGATAATACTCTACCTACTGGCTTCCTTAAGTCTAATTCTCTTTATTATAGTTATTTTATTATCTTATACTCGGTGTTACTAAGCCCCGTGTATTAATAAAGAGCTTATATTTTACTCAAGATAAGGCTGTAGTCAAAAAGCCTTACTTTGAGATTATTTAGACCTACAATTTTTGAGCCTTACACTAGGCTTATATGCCAGTTGTAATTGAATCC